AGGGTTTTTTTTTGTTGTTGTTTGTATATTGTGGAGGTTTTTATGTGTGTCCTGAAGTTCAAGGGCCACCTGGATTCTGAGAGAGCATTCCCAGTCCCTGGATCAGCTATTTTCTTGCCAAAAAGGCAGGAAATTGGTGCCAAGGCAAATCGTGGGGGGTAGTGCTCCCTGTTTTCAGCAGAACCCCAGAGGGACTTTGCTGCACACATGAAAATATGTGAAATATATGAAAAATATGGATCAGAGGAAGGATTCCAGCTGTTCCCTCTGTGCTGAGAAGCATGAGCTGGGAATCCTGGTGCTGAATATAAAGATTCTGGTGCTGAATATGAAGATTCTTGCTGAATATAAAAATGCTGGTGCTGAATATAAAGATTCTGGTGCTGAATATGAAGTTTCTGGTGCTGAATATGAAAATGCTGGTGCTGAATATAAAAATACTGGTGCTGCACATAAAAATGTTGGTGCTGAATTTAAAAACCCTGGTGCTGAATATGAAGATCCTGATGCTGAATATAAAAATGCTGGTGCTGAGTATAAAGATTCTGGTGCTGTATATGAAAATACTGGTGCTGAATATAAAAATATTGGTGCTGAATTTAAAAACCTTGGTGCTGCATATAAAGACTCTGGTACAGAATATGAAAATGCTGGTGCTGAATATAAAGATTCTGCTGCTGAATATAAAAATACTGGTGCTGCACATAAAAATGTTGGTGCTGAATTTAAAAATACTGGTGCTGAATATGAAGACCCTGGTGCTGAATATAAAGATTCTGGTGCTGTATATGAAAATGCTGGTGCTGAATATAAAAATGTTGGTGCTGAATTTAAAAACCCTGGTGCTGCATATAAAGACTCTGGTACAGAATATGAAAATGCTGGTGCTGAATATAAAGACCCTGGTGCTGAATATGAAAATGCTGGTGCTGAATATAAAGACCCTGGTGATGAATATGAAAATGCTGGTGCTGAATATAAAGATTCTGCTGCTGAATATAAAAATACTGGTGCTGCATATAAAAATGTTGGTGCTGAATTTAGAGACCCTGGTGCTGAATATAAAGATTCTGGTGCTGAATATGAAGATCCTGATGCTGAGTATAAAAATGCTGGTGCTGAATATAAAGATTTTGGTGCTGAATATGAAAATGCTGGTGCTGAATATAAAGATTCTGGTGCTGAATATAAAAATGTTGGTGCTGAATTTAGAGACCCTGGTGCTGAATATGAAGATTCTGGTCTTGAAGGTGCAGCTGCTGCTGCTGACCACGAGGATCCCAGTGCTGGATCAGGATCCTGCTGCTGAATGTGCAGATCCCAGGCACCGTGCGGTCACCACGGCGTCACCCTGCTGTGACACCTCCTGCCACCCTCATGCTCTGCCTTACCTCAGGGAAGGGCAGGGAGCAGATTTAGGGCTTAAGGAGTCACCCTGGCAGCCATGTGCCGTAATCTGGTGCCTGGAAAAGTCAGGAGGCTCTGAGGCAGTTATGTAAAGGCAGGGCTGGGTGCTGGAAGGGGTGCCCAGGTGGTGCCAGGGCTGGTGGCAGCACAGAAAGGTCCTGCTGGTTATTAGATACAATAGGCAGCCCCAAATCTGCACCTGAAACACTGGGGTTAAGTGTTTTCATCATATGGAAAAGATCAGTAATTCTCCCACAGGAGCTCATGGCAGAAATTTAAATGTCAGCTCCAAAACTCAACACGTGCAAGGATTGCTCCAAGACAAAAGCTGCCAGGACAAACAGGACCTGAATACCCTAAAAAGAATTCCCTAACCCTAAAACCCTAACCTGAACATAACCCAACACTCACCTGTAAGCAGAAACCAAGCACAAAACATAACTCTAAAGTTAAAAAAAAAACCCTAATCAAAAAAAACATGTCTTACCCAAAATCTAACCCTAAAGATAATGCTAATGAAAATCCTAACAAAACCGCAAACCAGAATCCTATTCCAAACCCAAGGCAATAAAAATAAAGCTAAAACAAAAGACCAAATCAAAAGCAAACCCAAATCTTAACCATAACCCTGACCAAACAATCAATCCTAACCCCAATCATAACCTTAACCATAACCCTAACCCAACATTAACCTATAAGCAAATCCAAAATATAACTATAAAGCTAAAAAAACCTAATAAAAAAACCCCCACTGTCTTCCCCAAAATCTCCCCCTAAAGACAATGCCAACAATAATCATAACAAAAATCTCTAAACCTGAATAATAAGCCAAACCCAAATAACACTAAGCAAAAACAAAAGCCCAGACCAAGAGCAAACCAAAATCCTAACCATAACCCTGACCAAACACTGAACCCTAACTATAACCCTAACCCCTAGCTCATACCCTAACCCAACACTAACCTATAAGCAAAAACCAAATCCAAAACATAACTATAAAGCTAAAAAAACCCCCTAATTTAAAAAAACCCAAAACACTAAGTCCTCCCCAAAATCTACCCTTAAAGACAATGCTAACAATAACCCTAAGAAAATCCCTAAACCTGAATAGTAAGGCAAACCCAAATAACACTAAAGCAAAAACAAAAGCCCAAATCAAGAGCAAACCCAAATCCTAACCATAACCCTGACCAAACAGTGAAGCCTAACCCTAATCATAATAATAACAACCCTAAACCCTAGCCCTTACCCTAACCCTAACCCAGCACTAACCTATAAGCAAACAGCAAATCCAAAACATAACTCTAAAGCTAAAACATAACCCTGACCAAACAATCAATCCTAACCCTAATCATAACCTTAACCATAACCCTAACCCAACACTAACCTATAACCAAATCCAAAATATAACTATAAAGCTATAAAAACCTAATAATAAAAAAAACCCCACTAAGTCTTCCCCAAAATCTCCCCCTAAAGACAATGCTAACAATAATCATAACAAAATCTCTAAACCTGAATAGTAAGGCAAACCCAAATAACACTACAGCAGAAACAAAAGCCCAAATCAAAAGCAAACCCAAATCACAACCATAACCCTGAACCCAAACCATAACCCTAACCAAACACTGAACCTTAACCCTAATCCTCACACCAACCCTAACCCTAATCATAATCCTGACCCTAACCCTGACCCTGACCACCTTGGGGCCAAGCCCAGCCAGACCTGCTGGTCCTGGCAGCTTTCTGGGAGCAATCCTTGGACATTCACAATTTTAAGAGCCAGGATCCCACATTTGGCAGCAAAGGATTCCTCCTTTCCATAGGAAGAAAAGCCCAAAAAAGAAAAAGTTTCCACAAAAGAAAAGCCTGGTGTCTTGGGGGCACAGCAGAGGCACCCTGGGGGGCCAAGGCCAGTTAGACCCAGCCTAAGATAAGAGTATGCTGTTATCTGTTAGAGGTGGGGCATTATCTGCTGAAGAATAATACTATTTCTTTCCTAGTAAAGAAATTGTCTTCTTAGCAAAGAATAACTTTCCTGACACCTCTACCCCTCCTGTGACTTTCTTGGCTGTTCCTACCCCCCCTTGTCTCATCTCACCGACCCCTCCTTGTCCTTTCTTTGACTCCATTGCCTTTCCCACCCATGCACCACCCTGACTTCCCCACTTTTCCCTGGCTTTGCCTTGTCCTGCCTGCTCCTCCTCTGATCCTCCTTGCCTTGTCTTTCCCTACCCAACGTTGCCTTTCCCTGCCATCCCAAACCATCTCTGCCTTTCCCTGCTGTTCCAAACCACCTCTTGCCTTTCCCTGCCATCCCAAACCATTTTTCCCTTTCCCTGCCATCCCAAACCATCTCTGCCTTTCCCTGCCATGCCTGCTCCAACTTGAAGGCAGCAACAGTTTGTCAGATTAAGCTCTTTTCTGACTCAGAGAAAGAGTAACTGAGAAAGTTTTTAAAACTTTTATTCCATTTTCAGTCTCATGTGAAGAGTGAAACAATACAAATGTTACGATTCACGCCATCACAATCAGAAACCAACAATTTCCTAATTACATTAGAAGCGTTTCTTGGCTTATTAGCTTTCGTTACACCATATTCCAAATGCCTTCCAGCCAATCATCCAAACAGCTCTCTCAGCTGACACTTCCTTTGGGGAGCTGTGGTTTTCCCCGATGTTTTCATGTTTGTAGCCAGACTCAGCCAGAATGAAAACCCCCACCAGCACCAAGGGGCTCCTGTGTCCTCTGGAGCGCGCACAAATCAGAGTTTGAGCTGGGAAAGGGAAGATCAGAGCAGTCTTTGTCCGGAGCCGGCGGATTTGGGAGCAGGGCCGTTTTCACCTTGGCTGCTTGCGTTGGGTGATGCAGAGCGTTCGCTTCCCCTGCAAAGGCACAGCGGCATCGTGTGGCTGCTCGGCCGGGCTGCGAGTTTATGGGCTGCGAAAGGGAAGGGAATTCCAGCACAGCCTCTTCCTCTCCTTTCCTTTCCGCTGTGCCAGCTGCACTTTCTGAGCTGCAGGGACAAAGGGACACCGGTGCTCCCTTTTTGTCCTGGGACCTTTGGGATGGGAGCGATGTTGGACACAGCATCAGGGCGGGACACAGGGGACGGCACACACAGGGTGGGACACAGCGTGGGACAGAGGGTAGGACACAGGACACACACAGGGCAGGACACGCGCAGATCACACACAGGAGAAAGGGCAGGACACACACAGGGCAGGACACAGGACACACACAGGACACGGCAGGACACAGCCTTCGGGGCGCTCTGGGCCCGGCGGTCCCCGGGCACTCCCGGCACCATCCCCGGTGCAAGCCCGCCAGCCCCGTGGCCTCCGCGCTTCTCTTGCCCTTCTCCTTTCCCAGCACCGGTTCCTCATCTCCTCCGCGCTTCTGCCCTTCCAAAATCCACGCTCTCCCTCCTTCCTGAGCCGGGCAGGGCAGGCGAGGGCCGGGCTCGGGGCTGGAAGGGGCTCGGAGGGAGCGCTCGGGGGATGCCGCGGCTCCCTCGCTGCCGGGCCCGGGTGCCGCGGCCGTGCCGAGCCTGACAAGGTGCCAAGGAGCCCGTTTGGCGGCCGGGCGAGTAAATGCCCGTTCCCGGGAGCCGCCCGCGAGCCCCCCGCCCCAAACGGTGGCGTCCCCCGCGCGCCGGGGGTTCCGCAGCGCTCCCGCCGCCGCCGCCGGGCCAGCGGCCGCTGCTGCCCTCCGGCCGCCGCCTCTCCCTCCCCGTCTCTCTCCGCTGGCCCAAAAGCCACGCCGGCAGCCCGGCTTTGCAGCCCGGCACCGGAACCAGCGCAGCATCCCCGGCCCGGCGCTCCCGCAGGCTGAGGCTGCCCCAGCTCGGAGGGACGCTGGGCTTGGTGTCGCTCCCTGACACGGGTTGGTTTTGGGGACCCGGGGAAGGGAGAGATGGCAAACAAATGGCATCAAATGGGAGGAAGTTGGTGGCAGGGACGGGATAGGATGGGACTATAGGGGATGGATAAGTATTTTAGGGTCTTTAGAGTCGAGGTGTTGGACCCTCCTTGTACCCGTGGCAGATGTGAAAAACAACCTTGCTTGGCGGGATGCAGGACTGGTTTGTGTTATTTAAGGGCGGGGAGGGGATGCTGATTTCTTTCCTGCCAAAACCTCTCTGGGCAGTGCCAGCCCGGTGGGTTTGGGGGGCTTAGAGGGAATTTCCCCGAGGCTCAGGGCTGTAAAACGCCCCCGGGGCAGCATTGCAGCTCCGTGCCCTGCACAGGGAGTGGTGTCACCCAGGAACTGGGAACATCCAGGCTCCAGGGGCTCCAGGAACACCTGTCCAGGTGCCAGCCTCGCAGACCCTCAACCCTCTGCCCCTTCCCGTCCAGGTGGACACTCCCAGCTCCGAGCCATGGTGTGCTCCAGCCCCGTGCTCAGAGCTCAGGGACAGCCGAGCTCCAGCCAGGAGGAGCAGCGCGGTGCCCAGCCCGACCTGCTGTGGCTGGCCGACCTCACGGGCGCCCACATCGGCCTGGCCCCCATCTCCCAGGACCCCGAGGACCGCTGCAGCATCTGGGAGAACCTGGTGAGCCTGGTGGATTTCCAGTGCCCGGGTTTTCCCCTGACCTCCGAGGAGCTCTGCCACTACATCGACATCCCCCGCTCGCCGGTGGCCGTGACCCTGCCCGGGGCTGTGACCCCGCCCGGGCCCCCCGCGCCCCCGGGGGACATCGACTACAGGACCAACGCGCACGTGAAGCCGCCCTACTCCTACGCCACCCTGATCTGCATGGCCATGGAAGCCAGCCAGCAGCCCAAGCTCACCCTGGCAGCCATCTGCAAGTGGATCAGCGACAACTTCTGCTACTTCCGCCGTGCCCACCCCAGCTGGCAGGTACGAGGAGGTGTCTTGGTTTGGGAAGTCAGGTGTGTCTGCCCAGGAAGGCAGGAGCCTCCCCTGAAATGGAGAATGTAAACACCCTCCAAATTGCTATGAATTTTAAATTAAGGGTTCTCAGGGAAAAAAAAAAAATGGGAGCAGGAAGAAACAGTTCTTTAATAGGGAAGAAAATAAAAGGATTAAATAAACAATGCAGTAAACTAAAAACAACGCTGACAGAGTCAGAATATGACCTGACCCCCTGTTGGTCAGGGTGTTGGTACCAAAATCTTTCAGAGAAAAAGAATTTATTGCTCTCTTATCGAGTTCTTCCCACCTTGCTCAGCCCTGAAGACACTTCAGGACTGAGAGGAAAAAGTTGATGCTGACCAGACAGAATCCTTTGTTTGAAGAAAATTTATACATCATGCATGAGATGTATGAATATGCAACAGGCTATTGCTTTTAAGGGTTAATCCTCTGTTAACGTGTGTCCTTTTTTGGGATTATTTTGCCCAGAAAATGTGAATAGTTTTGACTTAATTACCAATCATGGTCAGGCTGTGTCCGACTCTGGAGAGTCATGAGATTCATTATTAACTTGTTAAGCCTTCTGTATGTATCCTTGCTCTATTATTTAGTATAGTTTATTATAGAATAATATAATATAATATAATATAATATAATATATCATAAAATAATAAATTAGCCTTCTAAGAACATGGAGTCAGATTCCTTCCTTCCTTCCTTCCTTCCTTCCTTCCTTCCTTCCTTCCTTCCCTCCCTCTGAACCATCTGTAACTCTTTGTTTTTATTGTCTCATATTGTCGTAATCCAAATCGTCCAAATTTTTATTACTCTTAACTACATTGCTGTTTCTATAACCATTTCATTCCTGTTAAACTTTGAAAAATTTTAAAACCAAGTGAGTGACGTTTTTGTTCTTTTTTTTTGTGTGTGCCCAGAGCTCCATCCGGCACAACCTGTGCATCAACAAGCGCTTTGTCAAGGTGCCCCGGGAGAAGGGGGAGCCGGGCAGAGGAGCCTTCTGGAAGCTTCACCCCCAGTACGCCGAGTGGCTCAAGAGCAGCACCCTCAAAGGGCACAGGTGATTAGTGGGTGTCGGGGTTGGCTGTTGTTTGTCTCTGCCCCAACACGGGAAAAGCGGTTCTGGGTGGCCGCGATTCCAAGGACGAGTCTGGACTCTCAGGTTTTTCGGTCTCAGATCAAATTTCCAGGTGTCTTTGGCTTCCCACCAGGGTCTCTGAGCCCCTGCCAGGGCTTTGAGACATCCAGGGCATCCAGAGAGGTGTTCTGGGTTCCAACAAGTGGGAAAAAACCTAACTTCACTGGTATCAGGGTCTTTGAGATAGGTTTTATAAGATTTTGGGGATTTGTATCACGTTCGAGATAGCTTAGCTGCTTCAGGTGGTGTAAAATCAGCAGGGTGGCTTTTGTGGCGGTGTTGGAAACGGAAAAGTTTTAATAAAAAGTTTTAATAAAAAGTAAAATAACAAAGCTCTTTACAGAGAAAAAGTGAGTTAGGGCAAGAGGTTCTTGCTCCTGGTAAAACACCCCACAAAAGCAATCAGTTCCTTTGCTCTCTTCTTTTTCTAGTGAATTGCTTAGGTGGGACTTTTTGGCTCCTGTCCAATCCTTAAGTTTGAGGTGAAGTCCCTCAGGTCCTATGAGGTGTCTTTTTACCTAATTGAGGAGAGAAACTTCTGGACTTTTTTCCTTTTTTAGGAGACAAAGGATAACTTTGTCACCCCATCAACAGGGGCACATCCCTACACTCCACAACTTGTAAAAGTTGTAAGGCTGGTGTGTTTATTCCAACACTGGATGCACGTGGGGATCACTGTCCCCCCTAAAGGACACCCTAAAGGGCCCTCCTGAGAATTCCCAATCCTTTTTTATCCCCCTTACTTGTACATATTCACAATAGGCTCGTGCATATTCATTTTATGGTTTTGCATTCCAACTTGCAGCTAGTCCTTGTACAGAGAAAACTCTCTGGTCATCCTGTTTCAAAGCTCAAGGGGTCCTTTTTATCTCTTCAGCTTGGGAATTGAATTCATTTTTCCTCACCTGAGGCAGTTTTTGTGATAACAGACTAAACAAACTCACTTATTCTAGCAAGCTGCAGACTTAATAATCCAAAGCGGCGCATTTCGCCTAAACCCAAAATGGATTTCTGCTCTGTTAAATTTCAGCTCTGTGGTATTTTTGGGGTTCCCAGACGAGGGAAGGAAGGAATGAATCTGGCTCCATGTTCTTAGAAGGGCTAATTTATTATTTTATGATATTATATTATATAAAATAATGCTATAGTAAAGTATACTAAAGAATAGACAAAGGATACATAGAGAAGGCTCAACAAGATAAAAATGAATCTCGTGACTCTGTCCAGAGTCCAAGACAGCCTGACCATGGTTGGCCTGTCCGTTTCAAAGCTCAAGGGGTCCTTTTTATCTCTTCAGCTTGGGAATTGAATTCATTTTTCCTCACCTGAGGCAGTTTTTGTGATAACAGACTAAACAAACTCACTTATTCTAGCAAGCTGCAGACTTAATAATCCAAAGCGGCGCATTTCGCCTAAACCCAAAATGGATTTCTGCTCTGTTAAATTTCAGCTCTGTGGTATTTTTGGGGTTCCCAGACGAGGGAAGGAAGGAATGAATCTGGCTCCATGTTCTTAGAAGGGCTAATTTATTATTTTATGATATTATATTATATAAAATAATGCTATAGTAAAGTATACTAAAGAATAGACAAAGGATACATAGAGAAGGCTCAACAAGATAAAAATGAATCTCGTGACTCTGTCCAGAGTCCAAGACAGCCTGACCATGGTTGGTGATTGAGCCAAAACAATTCACATGTTGGATAAAAAATTGATTTGCAGAAAAGGAAACAAACTCCACAGCTTTTGTGGAAGTTGTAAAGCTGGTGTGTTTATTACAGCGCTGGACACGTGTGGGGATGGCTCCCCCAAAATGACACGTGTGCCTCTGGGAACTCCAGATCCTTTTTTATCTCCCTCTCAAACACATATGCATGCAATATGTATTCATTATTTGTATAATATATGTACAACATTATTTGTATAATATACATATTTCACAATAGGTTCATACATATTCATTCCACTGATTTTGTGTGACATTTGCTGTTGATTCTTCTTTATCAGAAAGAATTCCTGGGCCATATTGCCCTGCTCTCTCTGTCTGGCCCCCTTATCTCTTCTCCTTCAGCTGAAGCATTTTCTCTGAGCACAGGTTTTTGTGAGAACAGGAGTCAGACTAAACAGCTATGTTTGCAGGCTACAGACTTAACACAAAGATGTACATTTCACCTAAATCAAAACGGATTTCTACTCCGGAAAATTTCCACTCTGCCTCACAATCTCCAACCACATTCCAAAGCAGCAAAACGCAGGAGAAGCAAATGAGACAACTCTTGCTTTCCTTTTCCTCTGAGGCTTCCCAGCTTCTCTGGGCAAAGAGGATTGTTCAGAAAACACCACGGTGACCCAGCTCTGTTCCACAGGCCCCTTCCAGAGCCCAGGAGAGCCCAGCAGGGAGCACAGCGCGTCCCCAGCCCCGCTGGCGCTGTCACCGTCGCCGGCGGCTCCCGCGGCGACCTCGAGGTGGGCGCGGAGCTGCAGCGGCTGCTGCGGGAGTTCGAGGAGTTCGAGAGCAGCCACAGGTGGAGCCCTGAGGAGAACCCAGCGGGCCAGCAGAGCGAGCCCGAGGCCTCTTGGCTGCCAGGCTGTGCCCCGGCGAGCCAGGAGGAGCCGGGCGAGCTGACGGAGCTGAAGGGCAGCATGGAGTGGGAAGCGCTGCTCGACGCCCCCGCCGAGCTGGGGGATTTCTCCGCTCTGGGGCAGCTCCCACCTTCCAGCCAGCCTGGAACCTTCCCCCTGCACCCCACCAGGGCAGCGGGGCAGCAGCTGGGCTGGCCTCAAATGCTGCCCGAGCCCAGCCCTACCAAAGCGGGCTCGGATGAAACCCTGATGGCCACGGCTTTCCTGGAGGCTGCGTGGCACGAGGAGATGAGAGGGAACCTCTACAGCGGCATCCCCGCCGAGCAGGGGGCTGCAAACTTCCAGGCCTCTTTGCCCGGCAGGGAGGTCATGGATTGGGACTCTCTGGCCCCTTTAAGGCTCTATTAGAGATGGGAGATTAGATTAGATTAGATCAGATTAGATTAGATTAGCTAAAATAAGATTAGACTATATCAGATTACATTAGATTACATTAGATTACATTACACTTGATTTGGTTTGATTCCATGGATTTAGGAGGGGTTTTAGGGTGGGTGTAGCTGGTTTGATGGATGAGGGTTTTTTTTGCTGTTATTTTTGCTTTCTGTTCTGTTTTTTGCTTGGGGAATGTGCTGAAGATACTTGGCTACTTTAAATTGGTTTTTTTTTTTCATTTTATTGGCGGTTTTGTAGCGATAGAATAAAGGAAGCAAAGCAAAGAACTCCTGTTTTACCTTCTGCTTTCCCTCCAGCCCCTTTGGCTCTGCCCTGGCGGCTGGGCACATCTGCCCAGCCCAGCCCTGCCCACCCAGCACAGGGCAGCTCCCAGCTCCTTCCACGCTGGCACAGCGATTCCTGGGGGAAACTGAGGCACGAGCCAGTGCCAGGGTGCCCCCGATCCAACGGGAGCCCTGCTGAGCTGGTGTGCCCAGGGGCTGCTGCCAGCCTTGCCCGTCCCCTTCCCTGCCCTGCAGGCAGCTCCCAGGGCTGGCACGGCCCCAGGGTGGGCACTGTCCCTGTGCCATGTCCCCACAGCTGGCACTGTCCCTGTGCCACTCCCCGGGGCTGGCACTGTCCCTGTGCCACTCTCAGTGGCTGGGCACTGTCCCTGTGCCACTCCCAGAGCTGGCACTGTCCCTGTGCCACTCCCAGACCTGGCACTGTCCCTGTGCCACTCTCAGTGGCTGGGCACTGTCCCTGTGCCACTCCCCAGGGCTGGCACTGTCCCTGTGCCACTCCCGGGGCTGGCACTGTCCCTGTGCCACTCCCGGGGCTGGCACTGCCCCAAAGCACCAGAACTCCCAGAATTCATTCCCTTTACCACGTTCCATGGTTCTGCAGCACCCCGGGGGCATTTTTGCATTTTTGTGTAATTTTTATTGGATTTAATCACCAGATCCTGGTGCCTGAGCCCCCCTGCCCCCCAAAATCCAGATGTCCCCTCAAATTCCTCCAAGCTCCCACTGGATTTTTTATTTTTATTTTCCCAAATGTTGTGAATATAAAGCTTCTCTTCAATGTTACAATTTTTTTTTTCCAACCATGCCCACAAATAATGGGCACATTAACAATGGGCTCGTTTTTCCTGAAAAATGCTGTAATTAAAGGGAATATTCAGTGGAAAAAGAAAATAAATGGTTCAATTAGATTTAAATCAGAATTGTGGGTGGCTGGAAAAGGGTGAATTCCTCAAGGGGGGGCTCTGAAATTCACAAAATTCTCTATTATAAAGGGAGTACTTCAGTGGAAAAAGAAAAGAAATTGTTAAAATAGATGTGAATTGTGGCTGAAATTGGGTGAATTCCTCAAGGGGGGGCTCTGAAATTCAGAAAAATGCTGCATTTAAGGGGAATATTTCAGTGGAAAAAGAAAATAAATGGTTCAATTAGATTTAAATCAGAATTGTGGGTGGCTGGAAAAGGGTGAATTCCTCAACGGGGGGCTCTGAAATTCAGAAAAATGCTGCATTTAAGGGGAATATTTCAGTGGAAAAAGAAAATAAATGGTTCAATTAGATTTAAATCAGAATTGTGGCTGATAAGGGGTGAATTCCTCAAGTGGGGGCTCTGAAATTCAGAAAAATGCTGTATTTAAGGGGAATATTTCAGTGGAAAAAGAAAATAAATTGTTAAAGTAGATGGGGATTGTGGCTGAAATTGGGTGAATTCCTCAGGAGAGGCTCTGAAATTCCCAAAATTCTGTATTTAAGGGGAGTATTTCAGTGGAAAAAGAAAATAAATTGTTAAAGTAGATGGGGATTGTGGCTGAAATTGGGTGAATTCCTCAGGAGAGGCTCTGAAATTCCCAAAATTCTGTATTTAAGGGGAGTATTTCAGTGGAAAAAGAAAATAAATTGTTCAAGTAGATTTAAATCAGAATTGTGGCTGGAAAAGGGTGAATTCCTCAAGGGGGGGCTCTGAAAATCACAGAATTCTCTATTATAAAGGGAGTATTTCAGTGGAAAAAGAAAATAAATTGTTAAAGTAGATGGGGATTGTGGCTGAAATTGGGTGAATTCCTCAAGGTGGCTCTGAAATTCACAAAAATCTCTATTATAAAGGGAGTATTTCAGTGGAAAAAGAAAAGAAATGGTTCAATTAGATTTAAATCAGAATTGTGGCTGATAAAGGGTGAATTCCTCAAGGGGGGGCTCTGAAATTCCCAAAATTCTGTATATAAGGGGAGTATTTCAGTGGAAAAAGAAATTGTTAAAATAGGTGTGAATTGTGGCTGAAATTGGGTGAATTCCTCAGGGGGCGGGCTCTGAAATTCCCAAAATTCTCTATTATAAAGGGAGTATTTCAGTGGAAAAAGAAAAGAAATTGTTAAACAAGATTTAAATCAGAATTGTGGCTGATAAGGGGTGAATTCCCCAAGGGGGGCTCTGAAATTCCCAAAATCCAGCAGGGAGTGGTGAGGAAGGGGGTGGCTCCCACCCCTTTATACCCCAAAAACGCTTTAAAAGGGAAATTTTCCAGGCGTCCCCATGGCCATGTCCCCCCAGGGGGACACCAGAGCCACCCCCAAAAGCAGTGGAGCCACCAGTTCCTCCAGTCTGGGCTGAATTCCCTTTGCCAGCAGGGATTCCTCGGCCGGGGGGGGCAGGGGGGTTTAACCCCAAAGTTCCTGGAGTGGGAAATGAAGGGGGAAAGGTCAAAGGGGCTCCAAGGAGGCTGAATTTGGGGGGGGGGGTGCAGTCCTGGGACCCCCCCTCAGCCCTTCCCGACCCCTCCTGCCTCCCCCACGGACTCCAGACCCCCCTCCTGCTCCAGAACCCCAAAAGGCTCCCAGGAAATCCCACAGGGACCTGGGGGGCTCGGTGGGACCCCAAGGGGCTCCTCAACCCCTGGGGGAGGGCTGGAGGTTTAAGGCTGTTCAGAGGAGAAAAGAAACAGGAAAACGCTCCAGCAGGGAGTCAGGGCCACCAGATCCCACGGGAAAGCCCAGCAGATCCCACAGGAACATCAGCAGATCTGACGGGAACATCCAGAAGATCTCACAGGAACACCAAGAAGATCCCATGGGAAGCATCCACCAAATCCCATGGGAACATCCAGCAGATCCCACAGGAACATCCTGAAGATCCCAGGGGAAGCATCCACCAAATCCCAGGGGAAGCATCCAGCAGATCCCACGGGAACATCAACCAGATCCCACGAGAACATCCAACAGATCACACAGGAACCTCCAGCAGATCTCACAGGAACATCCAGCAGATCCCACGGGAACATTGAGCAGATCCCACAAGAACATCCTGAAGATCCCACAGGAACCTCCAGCAGATCCCATGAGTACATCCAGGAGATCCCACAGGAACATTGAGCAGATCCCACAGAACCTCCAGCAGATCCCATGAGTACATCCAGGAGATCCCACAGGAACATTGAGCAGATCCCACAGAAGCTCCAGCAGATCCCACAGGAACATTGAGCAGATCCCACAGAAGCTCCAGCAGATCCCACAGGAGCATCCCCAGCTGAGGGAGCCGCTCGCTCTCCCCACAATTAACGAGACGCAGTTAATTACTGGAACAAGGAAGCCAGCAGCTCTGGTGGCCGTGCCACGGAGGCCGCGGAGGGCACGGCCAGGCCGGCTCGGGATGTGGCAGCAGCAGCTGGGAGGGGACACGGCTGGCACCCGCTGTCACTCGGGGGGCTGGCTGTGGTTGAGGGCCAGCAGCACCATGCTGTGGGCCAGCAGAGAGGCCTCCGAGGCTGCAGGAGAACAGGGGCACCGTGAGACTGGCACTGGGGGCACTGGGAGAGACTGGCACGGGCACTGGGGGCACTGGGAGAGCTGGGACTGGGAGGGGAGTGGCACTGGGGGACACTGGGGGTGCTGGGATGGGCCCTGGGTAGACTGGGAGCCCTGTGGGGGGCACAGGGGGTGGCTCTGGGTGGACTGGGCAGCACCGAGATAGGAACCTGGCAGACTGGGAACACTGGGATGGGCACAGGAGGGGCACTGGGATGGGACTGGGGAGCACTGGGATGGGCACAGGGGGAGCACTGGGATGGGCACAGGGGGAGCACTGGGATGGGCACAGGAGGGGCACTGGGATGGGCACAGGAGGGGCACTGGGATGGGACTGGGGGGGCACTGGGATGGGACTGGGGGAGCACTGGGATGGGCACAGCAGGGGCACAGGAGGAGCACTGGGATGGGCACAGGAGGGGCACAGGAGGAGCACTGGGAGGGGCACTGGGATGGGCACAGGGGGAGCACTGGGATGGGCAGAGGGGCACTGGGATGGGACTGGGGGGGCACTGGGATGGCAATTGGGGAGCACTGGGACAGGCACAGGAGGGGCACAGGGATGGGCACAGGGCTCCTGGTCCCCCATTTCCACCCCACCCCTTTTTCCTTTCCTCAGGGCTGCAGTCTGCCCCCAGAGCTCTGCAGGACAGGGACACCTGGGCACAGGTGAGGGGGGTGTGCCTAGATGGGGACAAAGTCACCCCAGAAGTGACACTCCTGTGCCCAGGGAAGCCTTTTGGGGGTGTTCCCCCACCAGAGGTACCTTGGAGCTCACAGGAGAGCCTGAGCCACTGCTCCAGCCACGCCTGGCACTCGGCCTGGCCCAGGTGAGTGGCGTTCAGCCCACGCAGGTAACAGGCCTGGGGACACACAGACACAGTCAGGGATGGACACACAGACCCCCAGCACCCCACCAGGACCCCCTCAAGGAGGGCAAGATGTGGAAACCCAGAGGAATATTTCTCTGTCTGCTCTGGGGAGCTCTGACTCTGACCCTCATCCATGGAGAAAGTTTCCCAGACTTCAAGCTAGACTGGAACCCACCAAAGTGTGAAACAGATTACAGAGAGTGGTGGAGGTGTATCCCTGGGTGAGAAATTTAGGGTTTAAAATTTCCAGTATGTTGTGGATGGAAGCAAAACAGAAGGCACAGGGTGTTGTCCTGGGTTTCTTCTTCCTCCTTCTTCTTCTTCATGGGTTTGGGTGGCATTTTGTAATTGGGCAGAAAAGTCCTCACTGGGGCTCTTTAGGATCAGTTATTGGGTTAAAAGGGAAAATAATCCAGGTGTAGTTCTTAACTGGACAGTTTAGTCTTACAAGACCTTGTACCAAGAGATTGTTGGGCATTTTGTGCCTTCTAATGAAGAGCTGCCGAACTCACAGCAGTGAGACTGTTTTACTGAAATAATAAACAACAAATAATAAAGAAATAATAATTTAAGAAATAATAAACACCTGAGTCTGAACATGAACTACCATCTCAAGTGCCTTCAATCCAGACCCAGAGAAACCAACAGGAAGACAAGTGAGGAACCCTTCTGTCACCACAATATTTTCTAAAAAATCCCTTCACCAGGATTTTTTTCTCCTGAGAAGCTGAGAAGCCTCAGAAAAGAAATGCAAACAATAATTACCTGATTGTTTTGGAATGTGGTCTGGAGATTGTTTACCAACAGGTGCAGCTTTGATTGGTTCCATGTGAATTGTTTTTACTCAATGACCAATCCCAGTCCAGCTGTGTCAGACTCTCTCTCTGTCACGAGTTTTTATTATTCACTCTTGTCTGGCCTTCTGCTGTATCCTTTCTCTCTACACTTTATTATAGTTTTAGTATATCTTTCTAATATAATATCATAATATAATAAATCAGCCTTCTAAGAAATATGGAGTCAGATTCTCCCTTCCCTCATCCTGGGACCCTCGCAACGACACCTCCACACCCTTCCCACCCCAGGTGTGACCCCAGTACCAAAAACCCTTTCCCAGAAGGGATCAACCTCAAGCCCCGAGGCCATACTGGTGCCACCTGAGGTGCCACAAGCTGGCACAGGTGTGCTGAGGTGTCCTCACCGCTCGGAGCTCCTCCTCAGAGAGCTGCCCCAGGCCCAGGTGCAGCAGGGCGAGGTCCAGGTGCCGGATCTCCAGGACGTGGCTGCGCAGGCGGCGCCGCAGGAGGAAGGCGGGCAGGTGAGGGGTCAGGAACAGCACCTGGCTCAGGGCTCTCTGTGCAGGACAAGAGGGCACCTGTGTGTGGCTGCAGCTCTCTTACCTTGCAAGCCAGGACAGCAAAGTGTCCTTCCCCACGTTGTTTCAGTGTAGGTTGATGTGGGTTGGAAAAGCAATCCATGCCCAAGGTCTCTGCCACCCTCCTTTAAATGATGGACAGAAGCACGAGGACCAAATTTGCTGCAAGCTCAGATGTGAAATTTCAGAAACTTGAGCCACAATGGTGGCTCAGCCCTCCTGCAGTGCCAGCTGTGCTTCTGCTGGAGCAGGGATCCTGCACAAGGGGGGAGTTTTCCTCTGGAGCTCCAGGGCTGCTGGAGATGGGCCTGCTCTCCCTCTGGGAATGCAGGGCAGGAGAAAGCTGCTCCTCTGGGAATGCAGTGGGAAAAGGCTGCTGGGCTGTTCCAGGCTCAGATTCTATCCAGGTAGGAATGTTTGAAATCTCAGATTGTATCCAGGTAGGAATGTTTGAAATCTCAGATTCTATCCAGGTAGGAATGCTTAAAATCTGATTGTATCCAGGTAGGAATGTTTGAAATCTCAGATTCTATCCAGGCAGGAATGTTTGAAATGTCAGGTTCTATCCAGGCAGGAATGCTTGGCTCCTCCCCTGGGTGGAGCATCTCCCAGTGGATGATGGAATTTTACCAGCCAGGCAGGGTCACTCACTGGCCCATGAACAGAAGATAATTCATAATTAATGGCCCATGAACAGGAGATATCTCCTGGAGGGAGGATTGGTTGTGACAGAGATAAGGAAAACCGCCCAATGAACAGAAGATAAATGCCCCACCTCCGACAGATAACAGAACACACTCTTATCTTGCAAGCCAGGACAGCAATGTGTCCTTCCCCATGTTGTTTCAGTGTAGGCTGATGTGGGTTGGAAATGCAATCCATGCCCACGGTCTCTGCCACCCTCCTTTAAAGAATGGACAGAAGCACAGGGAGCTGTTTTGCTACAGCAAGCTCAGACCTGAAATTTTAGAAACATGAGTGTCACCACTGAGTCAGGAAGGGATGAATGAGTGACACACTCCATGCATTTTCAGAAGGCATAAAAGCTTACTTTATTAAATAATCTCCCTATATTTAAAACCAACATTGTTCACCCAGAACCTCTACTTGTTGCTCCTGGTATTAATTATTAATTACCTTCTGTTCCTTTTATTTTATTTTATTTTATTTTATTTTATTTTATTTTATTTTATTTTATTTTATTTTATTTTATTTTATTTTATTTTATTTTGTTTTGTTGTTTTTCTTTCCTAATAAAGAACTGTTATTCCTGCTCCCATATCTTTGCCTGAAAGCCCCTTAATTTCAAATTTATAACAATTCAGAGGGAGGGGCTTTACATTTTCCATTTCAGGGGAGGCTCCTGCCTTCCTCAGCACACACCTGGCTTTTCAAATCAAGATAACTGCCATGAAGTTGTGAGTTTCTAATATCACTCAGTTTTTGCTGGTTTTTGGTTACTTAACCACACTGCAGTGAATCTCTGCAGAAAGTGTGGAACATTCTTTTTAAATCTGCTGCTTGCAACAAATTTTGCAAAACACCCAAACAAACCACCCCATGCTGTTGTATTGTTAGATGGAATGTTCTGGAAGTTGATTGATCATCTGAAACCCATTAAGATGATCCCAGTACACCGTGAATGCCCACTCAGGCACTTCCACCTGCCCACCTGGCTCCAACCCAGCCTGGAACACTTCCAGGGATGGGGAAATCCCTCCCAGTGCCTTCCCACCTCCACAGGGAGGAATTCCTTCCCCAAATCCTCCTCTGGATTCGTTCCCAGCAGCTCCAGATCCTCCTGATTCTGGGGGACCCCTGCTGGAGGCAGCACTGCAGGTGGGGTCTCATCTGAGCCCCCCTCACCTGCTGCCACCATGACCAGGACCCCAAATACCCCCAGGGATGGGGATCCCCCCAGCCCAGGGCACCTCTGCAGCTTTCCCTCTGCCCCTGGGCTGGTTTTGGGGCACACCTGAGCAGGTGAGCACCTGGGCTGAGCTGAACTCACCACATGATCCACCTGGAGCCTGTTGAGCACCAGCAGGGACCCCGAGAACAAACTCCTCACAGCCAGGAGCTGGGCCAGGCGGGGCTGGGCACCTCCCTGCACCTGAAAGAGCCCCAGAGAGCACAGGTGACACCTCAGACAGGCTGACGCCTCAGGTTTGAGATTTTCTCTTTTTCAGGTTCTGTGCTGCTTTACTCTGTGCGTTTGGGTTTCACATTATGGGATGGTGAGCTCTCTTCACAGGGCAGGGAGACAAAACAATTCCTGCTCCAGCTGGGGACCAAGGACAAATGATCCAAATCTCAGCCCCAAGAGCACAAACCCCGTGGGATGAAGAGAGAAAAACAACGAGGATGGGACCTCATAACCTAAAGGTGTAATTGGACAATTAACTCCAATACGCAAATGGAGCAGAATTTATAAAAGTGAGAGACCCCGTGACTGGGCGTCCATTTTTGTGACAATTTTGGGTTCATTTTGTGACAACTTTGCTTCATCTTGGTTCATTTTGTGATCATTTTGGGTTGATCTTGGCTTCATTTTGTGAACACAGGGCAGTGTGTATTCTATTTGTCATGTATTAGAGGTGGGGCAATTCTCTTATGTTCATTGGGCAGCTTTATTTATCTCTGCCACAACCAATCCTCCCTCCAGGAGATATCTCCTGGTAATGATCCATTAATTATTAATTATCTTCCTTTCATGGCCAGTGAGTGACCCTGCCTCGCTGGTAAAATTCCATCATCCACTGGGAGATGCTCCACCCAGGGGGAGGAGCCAAGCATTCCTACCTGGATAGAATCTCAGATTTCAAACATTGTTGCCTGGATAGAATCTGAGATTTCAAACATTCCTGCCTGGACAGAATCTGAGATTCTGGGACAGCCCAGCAGCTTCTCCACTGCATTCCCAGAGGAGCAGCTGCCTCTTCCACTGGATCTTCAGAGGAAGACTGCACCCTTGTCCAGGATCCCTGCTCCAGCAGAACCACACCTGACACTGCAGGAGGGCTGCAGCCACAATTCCAACTGGACTGCTGCCAACAGGGTGTCAGGTTGTGTTGATTCTGTCAGTAGTTTTTCTTTTGTAACCATTTTGGGTTTATTTTTTTACCATTTTGGGTTCATCTTTGGTTCATTTTTTGACCATTTTGGGTTCATCTTTGGTTCATTTTGTGACCATTTCAGGTTCATCTTGGGTATAACCCTGGCTGGACTCTTGTGATGCCCAAGTTGAATCCATTGAGGCCTCCTAACAAATCCCTACTCTATTATTTAACTTCAGTCTCTGTTCTAGGTCAGCATTCACAAGGTGACAACACCTCCCGTGTTGAATTAAACTTTTTTCTGACTCAGAGTGGGGTAACTGAGAGGTTTCCAACAGAACCACACCTGACACTCAGGAGGACTGCAGCCACAATTCCACCTGGATTGCTCCCAACACCCTGACCCACAGGATGTCAGGTTGTATTCTGACTGTCAGTGGTTTTTCTTTTGTATTACTGCATGTATTTTGGGTTTTTTTTCCCTAATAAATCATATTTCTGACTCGGAGCCTCTCACTGCTTTTGCTTTCAAGCCAGAACACACGGTGTGGCAGTGCTGGGGGCACAGACCTGGGCACAGAGCTGCAGGAGGAGCTGCTGGGGCTGGGCCTCGGGCAGGGAGCGCGCTGCCCGCGCCAGCGCCCGCAGCACGGCCGGGTACGAGGCCCTGCGGCGGCAGTCGTAGGCATCCAGGAACTCCAGCTGCTGCCTGGGCGTCCAGAAGTGCCTGATCAGCAGCTGCCGAGGGAAGAAATACCTGGGGAAAGGCAGGAGAGGGGATTCAGAGAGGGAAGGGCAGGGCAGGGGGTTCCAGGGGGTTCCCTCTTTCCTTTTTGGAGACAGTTGAATATTCACTGCCCTCCCTGAATCTGCATTAATCCAGGAGTTTGCCTCCTGAAATGAGGCTGGATGTGGCCTGGGAGTGGCAGTGAGTGGAGCTGTCACAGGAATTAGAGAGTCCTTTATTTTTTTGGAGTTCTTAGACCCTCCTGAATCTCCTCCTCAGGCATCCAGGAACTCCACCTGGGCATCCAGAAGTGCCTCACAAGGAGCTACTGAGGGAAGAAATACCTGGGGAAAGGCAGGAGAGGGGATTCAGAGAGGGAAGGGCAGGGCAGGGGATTCCAGGGGGTTCCCTCTTTCTTTTTTGGAGACAGTTGAATCACTGCCCTCCTGGAATTTGTATTAATCCAGGAGAAGTTTTCCTCGTGAAATGAGGCTGGATGTGGCCTGGGAGTGGCAGTGAGTGGAGCTGTCACCGGAATTAGAGTGTCCTTTATTTTTTTGGAGTTCTTAGACCCTCCTGAATCTCCTCCTCAGGCATCCAGAAGTGCCTGAGCAGGAGCTGCTAAGGGAAGAAATTCCTGGGGAAAGGCAGGAGAGGAGATTCAGACAGGGAAGAGCAGGACAGGGAGTTCCAGGGGGTTCCCTCTTTCCTTTTTGGAGACATCCCAGAGCTGGCACTGCCAATCCAGCACTCAGCTCCAGAGTTGGCACTGCCAATCCAGCACTCAGCTCATCAAGGCTATTAGAACGTAATTTGTGCTAAATTAAGAAAGAAGAGGCTCAGAAACTGAATACCAAGACAGCAAGAACTGGATAACAGAGATATTAAGATATTAAGAACATAAATTGTGCTAAGTTTAAAAAGAAGTGTGAGAAACACAATACCAAGACAGCAAGAACTGGGTAACAGAGGGCTGTGAAACACCTGCACTGCAGCCAATCACACACTGTGAGAAATGCAGGCAGAAAATGAGGGAACAACACAAAGACACCAATCAAGAAGTGTGTACTGTGCTTGTAGAGTCCATAAAAGTGTGTGTAATATAAACAATAAATGTGATGTAATGTAATATAAACAATAAATGCAATATCAACAATCAAGCTTCTGCTTGATCATATTGGTTACTTGTTCAGGAGTCCTGCATTTCCCATAATATTTGTTCTTACAGGGACAGATTCCTGCCTCTAGAAACCCCCACTGCAGGGAATTTGGGGCTCAGGGCACCCCAATACTCACACCAGGACAATCCCTGCCCTTAAAAACCCCCACTGCAAGGAATCTGGGGCTCAGGGAGCCCAATGAGCACCCCAGTACTCACATCAGGACAATTCCTGCCTCTAAAAACCACAACTGCACAAAATTTGGGGCTCAGGGAGCCCAAGGAACACCCCAGTACTCACACCAAGACAATTCCTGCCTCTAAAATCCCCAGCACAGGGAATTTGGGATTTGTTCTTACAGTGAGAGATTCCTGCCTCTAGAAACCCCCAGTGCACGGAATTTGGGGCTCAGGGCACCCCAATACTCACACCAAGACAATTCCTGTCCCTAAAAACCCCCAGTGCAGGGAATGTGGGGCTCAGGGAGCCAGGGCTGGGTACTCACATCAGGACAAGCACCAGGAAGTTGGCGAAGGGGGGGATGGCGATGATCCCGATGGGAATGGCCTTGAGCACGTCCCTGCGGAACTGCCCCGGGGGGCACGGGGACAGATCAGCACCTGACTACAAAAAGCCCCAAAAACCCCAAAATTCCCCCCTCCCCGTGCTGGCTGCAGCTGCCAGTCCCTGGTTTTGGGCAGGGAAGGTGTCCCAGAGGGGCTGCAGGCGCTCCCTGCAGAGGGGGAAGAGGGGGGCAGAGGGGAGGCAGAAAGGGGGCAGAGATGGGGCAGAGATGGGGCAGAAAAGGGGCAGAGATGGGGCAGAAAAGGGGCAGAGAGAAGAGAGGGGAGGCAGAGAAGAGGCTGAGGTAGGGCAGAGGGAAGGCTCAGATGAGAGCAGAGGTGGGGCAGAGGGGAGATGAGGCAGGGATGAGGCACAGAGGAGGCTGAGGGGAGGCAGGGATGAGGCAGAGGGGAGGCAGAGATAGAGGTGAGGAGAGGTAGAGATGGGGCAGAGATGAGGCTGAGATGAGGCAGGGGTGAGGCAGAGGGGAGGGGAGGCAGGGATGAGGCTGAGATGAGGGCAGAGGAAAGGTGAGGCAGGGGTGAGGCAGAGGGGAGATGAGGCAGAGACTAAGGTGAGGGGAGGCAGAGATGAGGCAGAGATGGGGCAGAGATGAGGCAGGAGGGAGACAGAGGGAAGATGAGGCAGGGATGAGGCAGAGACCAAGGTGAGGGGAGGCAGAGATGAGGCAGGGGGGAGGCACACAGAAGGTGAGGCAGGGATGGGGCAGGGATGGAGCAGGGATGGGGCAGGGATGGAGCAGGGATGGGGCAGGGATGGGCAGGGATGGGGCACACAGAAGCTGGCGCAGGGAGCTGCAGCTGACCTGGCGCAGGCGCTCCATGTCCCGGTACGGGAGCTGCTGCGGGCTCAGCTGCAGCTGGGCCATCCTGGCCCTGATCCTCCTGATCTCCTGCACCTCCAGGAACAGCGCCTGCACCCCTGCAGGGACAGGGCTCCCTCAGGAACCAGCCCCCAGGCAGGGCCTGGCGGCTGCAGCCTCCGCCCCCACTCCAAAACGGGTCCTTCTGACAGCTGGGACCCCTTTTGGGACCCAGATGTTGGGGGTCCCTCATCAGCCCCCCCTTTTCCTTGGGACACCCCTTTCTAGAACACCCCACCCACTTTCAAACCCCCTTTTCTTAACCCACCTGCTGGGACCCCCCCCATTTGGAACCCAGATATTCAGACTCCCCCATCAGCCCCCCTTTTCCTTGGGACACCCCTTTTTGGAACACCCCACCCTCTTTCAGACCCCCATTTTTGGACCCAGCCCCTGTGACCCCTTTTATGACCTCCTTTGGACCCAGATCTTTGGGCTCCCCTTTTTCAGCCCCCCTTTTTCTTAGGACACCCCTTTTTGGAACACCCCATCCACTTTCAAACACAATTTTTGGACCCACCTGCTGGGACCCCCTTTTTGGGACCCCATTTTGGGCTCCCCTTTTTCAGCACCCACCTCTTGGGACACCCCTTTTTGGAAAAAAAGGGACACCCCAAAAAACCAGGATTTTCAGACCCCCTTTTCCTGACCCAGCTGCTGGGGCCCCTTTTTTGGGCCCTCCCTTTCAGCACCCCCTTTTTTGGACCCTCTCTTTAACCCCTTCCTTTTCGGACCCCCCTTTAACCCCCCTTTTTGGGGTCCCCCTCTCCCCCCTGACCCGTTTTGAAGGTGCTGTGCAGGAGGTAGAACCGGGGCCAGCTCCTCTCCAGGTACCGCTCGTACCGGGCGCTCACCCGCCGGGCAGCGGCGGCCACGGCGGCCACGAGGGCTCGGGAGGAGGCGCGGGAGGAGAGAGAACGGACCTGGGAACACAGCGGGGAGCTGCGCCCCGAGCCCCGGGTGAGCCCCGAGCACACCGGGGAGACCCAGCCCCGAGCCCCGGGTGAGCCCCGAGCACACCGGGGAGACCCAGCCCCGAGCCCCGGGTGAGCCCCGAGCACACCGGGGAGCTGGGAACCCCCTGGGGCAGGGCTGGGGTGCGAATCGGGGCCCGAGGGAATTGAGGGGCCCCCGGTGGTTCCGGTATTCCCGTGCCGGGCTCGGGCAGGGCGGTAATGGGCGGTACCGGCACGGAACGGCAGCGCGGTAACGGAGACGGGGTGCGATAACGGGGGGCACCGAGCGCTGGGCAACAGCGTGGGGGGACACGACCAGGCGCGGGGGGAGCCGCAGGGGGCGAGGGGGGTAAAGGGGAGGGGTACTCGGCGAGGGATCACGACCGCGGTCGGTTTTGGCCGGTATTTAACGAGGGCTGCCGTCGGTGTTTGGGTCTCCCTGAAGGGAGCGTGAACCGGCCGGCACCACGGCCGCCCCGCGGGGGTCCCCGCTCACCTGGACACGGCCAGAGCGAGCTGCGGCTGCATCGGGCCCCGTGGGGGGCTCAGGGCGGCGGGGCCGAGGCGCCAAAGCCCCCCCCGGGCCGCGGCCCCGGGCAGCGCCATCTTGGCAGCTCACAGGGCGGCGGTCACGTGCGGCTCCGAGCGCTGATTGGCTGCCGCGCCGGAAATGCCTGTGTGCTGGGGGCTCCGGGCGCGCCCCGAGCCCCCGCATTTCTGTTCCGCCCAGCCCAACCGGGCGCTCCCCGGTCCTACCGGGCCCGGCTCTGTCCCGGTTCTGCCCCGGTGGCGGCGCTTCTTCGCGGGTGGGTGAGCCGGAACCCTCCTCCCGCTTCCCCAGGGTTGGAACCTTTCCCACTCCCGTGCAGCAGCTGTCGCTGTGCCCCCGTGCTGCCTCCCGAGCCCGCTTCTCCCGGTTCTCTCCCTGTTCTCCCGGTTCTCTCCCGGTTCTCCGGGCAGGACCCGCCGTCTGCGGCTCCTCCCTTCCAGCCCAGCGCTATGTGGGTCATGTTTGTTTTCCTCGTTCCTAACAAACCAAACCCTGCCCAAGGATTTTCGGGAAACACCCGCAGAAATTGCCGGCGCCGGTGCCACCCCCGGTGCCGCTCAGGGCCTCCCGGTGCCCCCGGGGACTCCCGGTGCCCCCGGGGACTCTCTCCGCTCCCCGGGACGTGGCACCCGTGCCCTCCTCACCTGTGCCCGGGTGCTGCTGACTCTGCTGTTCATTTATCGCCCCCGTGGCCCGGGACGCTCCGGGCCGCACGTCCCGGGGCTGCCCGAGCAGAGTCCGGCCCGCATCAGCGGAGCCGCCGCCGCCGCTTCATCAAAGCGGCTTAACGAGCGGCTAATTAACGATCGGCGCCCTTTGAGGTGCCTCGGAGCTTTTTCGGGGACTCTGCTCGGGGTGGAATGGGGCAGGGAGGGGACACCCGTTAAATACGGAGGGGACGGGGCACGGGAACCGGAGGGGCTGCGGGAGCCATGCCCGGTAATCCCGGCTGCGAGCGGGGTGAGTACCGGCCGTGCCCGGGGCGGGCGGGATTGGGGCACTTTGGGGCACTCTGGGGCACTTTGGGACACTTTGGGGCAGTTTCCCAGCCCAAACCAGCTGAGATTTGGAGATTTTGGGCAATTTGGGGCAGTTTCCCAGCCCAAACCAGCCGGGATTTGGGGCAGTTCCCCAGCCCAAACCAGCTGAGATTTGGAGATTTTGGGCAATTTGGGGCCGTTTCCCAGCCCAAACTATCCGGGATTTGAGGCAGTTTGGGGCAGCTCCCCAGCCCAAACTATCCGGGATTTGGGGATTTTGGGGAAGTTTGGGGCAGTTTCCCAGCCCCAACCAGCCAAGATTTGAGGATTTTGGGCATTTTCATAGCCCAGACCAGCCGGGATTTGGGGATTTTGGGCACTTTGGGGCAGCTCCCCAGCCCAAAGTATCCAGGATTTGGAGATTTTGGGGCACTTTGGGGCAGTTTCCCAGTCCAAACCAGCCGAGATTTGGAGATTTTGGGCAATTTGGGGCACATGCCCAGCCCAGCCGGGATTTGGGGATTTCGGGCAGTTTGGGGCACTTTGGAGCAGTTCCCCAGTCCAAACTATCCAGGATTTGGAGATTTTGGGGCACTTTGGGGCAGTTCCCCAGCCCAAACCAGCTGAGATTTGGAGATTTTGGGCAATTTGGGGCCGTTTCCCAGCCCAAACTATCCGGGATTTGAGGCAGTTTGGGGCAGCTCCCCAGCCCAAACTATCCGGGATTTGGGGATTTTGGGGAAGTTTGGGGCAGTTTCCCAGCCCCAACCCCAGCCCAAACCAGCCGGGATTTGGGGATTTTGACAATTTGGGGCAGATTCCCAGCCCAAACCAGCCAGGATTTGGGAATTCTGAGCAGTTTGGGGCAGTTTCCCAGCCCAAACCAGCCGGGATTTGGGGATTTTGGGCAGTTTGTGCAGTTTCCCAGCTCCTGGCTGCCTTTGGGGTCAGTCCCACCTGGTTCCAGGTGGGGAGCGAGGCCTCCCGTTGGGTCATTCCTATTTTTAGGAATATTTTTTTGTGTTATTCCTGCTCTGTCGGGTCAGAGCTGTTGTGGTGGAGTCTCCCACCTCCTGGATTTCTCATTTTTCCAGGATTTAGCCATTTAGCAGCACCATTAATAATGGCACACCATTAATAAAACCAGGCTACTCCTGCACAGACATCCCAAAATCCCACCCTGGGCATCCCAAAATCCCACCCTGGGCACCCGAAAATCCCACCCTGGGCATCCCTGGAGTGCTTTCCAAACGCTCCTGGCAGTCCTGGGGGTCCTGGGCAGTGCCCAGCACCCTCTGGGGGCAGAACCTTGCCCTGTACCCATCCCAAAGCTGCCCTGGCACAGCTCCAGCCCTGCCCCTGGGTGTGCCCCCACCCACCACGGGGGTCTGGGGACCCTCCTGGGGCCTCCCTGGGGCTCAACCCCCCCTCCAGGGGCTCAGGAGCTGCACTGGGGCCCATGATCCCCAAACTGGGGGACTGGGACCCCAAACTGGGGGACTGGGACCCCAAATTGGGACCTGGTGCCCGAAACTGAGACCTGGGACTCCAAATTGGGACCTGAGACCCCAGACGGGGATCTGGGACCCCAAACTGAGACCTGGGACCCCAAACTGGGATCTGGGACCCCAAATTGGGACCTGAGACCCCAAACTGGGATCTGGGCCCCCAAACTGAGACCTGGGGCCCAAATGTCCTGGGGGTCCTGGGCAGTGCCCAGCACCCTCTGGGGGCAGAACCTTGCCCTGTACCCATCCCAAAGCTGCCCTGGCACAGCTCCAGCCCTGCCCCTGGGTGTGCCCCCACCCACCACGGGGGTCTGGGGACCCTCCTGGGGCCTCCCTGGGGCTCAACCCCCCCTCCAGGGGCTCAGGAGCTGCACTGGGGCCCATGATCCCTGCACCGGGGGACTGGGACCCCAAACTGGGGGACTGGGACCCCAAACTGGGGGACTGGGACCTGGGGCTCTGTCTGCCATCCTGGGACCCCAAATTGGGATCTGGGACCCCGAACTGAGACCTGGGACCCCAAACTGGGATCTGGGACCCCAAACTGAGACCTGGAACCCAAAATTGGGACCTGGGACCCCAAACTGGGGGACTGGGACCCCAAATTGGGACCTGGTGCCCGAAACTGAGACCTGGGACTCCAAATTGGGACCTGAGACCCCAGACGGGGATCTGGGACCCCAAACTGAGACCTGGGACCCCAAACTGGGACCTGAGACCCCAGACGGGGACCTGGGGGCCTGGTTGCCATCCTGGGACCACAAACTGGGACCTGAGATCCCAAACTGGGACCTGGGGCCCCAAACTGGGACCTGGGACCCCAAACTGGGATCTGGACCCCAAACTGGGACCTGGGACCCCAAACTGGGATCTGGACCCCAAACTGGGACCTGGGGCTTGGTCTGCTATCCTGGGGCCCCAAACTGGGATCGGGGCCCCGGCTGCCATCCTGGTGCCACGCTGGGGCTCGCCCCCCGCACCCCCCAGCCCAGGACCCACGTTCGGGCTCAGGCCCCACCCCGGGGTCCCGGTGCCGCCCCCGGTGCCGCCCCGTGACGCGCTCGGTGCGCCGGGACGCGGCTCGGGCCGGGCATGCGGCGGCGGCGGCGGGGCCGGGGGCGGCCGGGGCCGGTGAGCGATGGGGGACGGAACGACCCTCGGCGGGCGGACGGGGGTGGTCCCGGTTGTGCTGCAGGGGGCTCCGGTACCGGAGGTCCCGGGGGGCTTCAGCCCCGGGGGGTTTGCGGGGGACTCCGGTGCCCGGGGATACCGGGGGGTTTGGGGGGCTCCGGTGCCCGGGGGCCCCCTGGATGTGCTGCGGGGGTCTCCAGCCCCGGGGTGGTCCGGCCCCGGGGATACCGGGGGGCTCCGGTACCAGGGATACCGGGTGGTTTGGGGGGCTCCGGTGCCCGCCGGGGGTCCCCTGGATGTGCTACGGGACCCCTGGGTGGGGGTCGGGAGGGGGTCACGGAGCCGCTGCCCATCGCCCCCCGGCGCTGCCCGCGGGGGTTCGGGGTCCCCCGGTGACCTTGGGGTGTCCCGGGGACCCGGCCGGGGGTGGCGGCACCGGCTCCGACCCTCTGCGCTCCGCCGGGGTTTGGGGGTCCCCCAGGCTCGTCCGTTCGGGCTGGGGGTGCCGGGGCTCTGTGCGGAGCCCCGCGGGGCTCGATCTGCCCGGGACGGGGTCCCCGTGTCCCCGGTGGCAGCTCCGGTTCCATCCCGGGGCGAGGATGAGTCCGGCCGGTGCCGAAGGCCCCTCAGCGGCTCCGGGAATGTCGCTGTGACCTGGCAGGGCTCCGCGCTCCCGGCTGGCCCCGGGCAAGGTTCACACGTGGCACTCAGAGCGGGCTCCGGTCCCTCCGCGGTCCCGGTAACGGGCAGAGCAGCGCCGGAGGGTGCGGTGACGGCTCCGGGGTTTTGTGGCTTTGGTTCGTTCCAGGCTGTGGAAACTCTCGGTCCCAAGTGTGCGTCAGCTGCCCCGTCCCACGCTGGAAGGAACGAGCGGGGCTGGCTCCTGGATCTGGGGCTGGGTCTTTAGACTGCGGCTGGAGCCTAAATCTGGAGGCTGCCTCCAAAGTCTGGGGGATGGCTCTTGAACCTGGGGCTGGACCCTAAATCTGGGGGCTGGATCTTAAATCTGGGGGCTGGACCCTAAAACTAGGGCTGGCTTCTAAATCTGGGGGCTGGCTCCTAAATCCAAGGGCTGGCTTCTAAGTCTGGGGGCTGGAGCCTAAATCTGGGGCTGGATTCTAAATCTGGGGGCTGGAGCCTAAATATTTGGGGGCTGAGCAGGCCGGGAGGAGAGCTGCTCCTCCCTGCAGGTGTTGGTGGTTTCGGGGTGTGGAGTAACTGGGTCACCCTCGATACTTCAACCCTCGTGGTGAGAGGAGGGCACCCTGGGGTGAGCGGGGCAGGCTTGGTACCCGGTGCCTCGTGCCCTGCTAGCCCAGGCCAGGCTCAGTGCCCCGTGCTCTGCTAGCCCAGGCCAGGCTCGGTGCCCCGTGCCCTGCTGAGCCCAGGCCAGGCTTGGAGCCCCATGCCGTGCTAGCCCAGGCCAGGCTCAGTGCTCTGCTGAGCCCAGGGCAAGCTCGGTGCCCCGTGCCCTGCTAACCTAGGCTAGGCTCAGTGCCCTGCTGAGCCCAGGGCAGGCTCGGTGCCCTGTGCCCTGCTAACCCAAGTCAGGCTCAGTGCTCTGCTGAGCCCAGGCCAGGCTTGGTGCCCTGCTGAGCCCAGGCCAGTCTCAGTGCCCTGTGCCCTGCTAACCCAGGCCAGTCTCAGTGCCCTGTGCCCTGCTAACCCAAGCCAGGCTCAGTGCCCTGTGCCCTGCTAACCCAAGCCAGGCTCAGTGCCCCAGGCAGGCTAAGCTCCCCTTACCCTGCTGAGCCCAGGGCAGGTCCCAGCTCTGTGCCCTGCTAGCCCAGGGCAGGCCCCAGCTCTGTGCCCTGCTGAGCCCAGGGCAGGTCCCAGCTCTGTGCCCTGCTAGCCCAGGGCAGGCCCCAGCTCTGTGCCCTGCTAGCCCAGGGCAGGCCCCAGCTCTGTGCCCTGCTGAGCCCAGGGCAGGCCCCAGCTCTGTGCCCTGCTGAGCCCAGGGCAGGCCCCAGCTCCCGAGCGTGGGATGGGGTCAGGGCAGGGACTGAGCTGGTCCGACCTGCTCAGGTGGGCAGGGCTCTGCTTGGTGAGACAGGAACAGAGCGGGGTCAGCCCTGCCTGGAGCTGCTGCTCATGTGCTGGGCAGGAGTGGGGCAGGGCAGGGAGCGAGGGAGCCCACAGGGATGGATCCCTCAGGGTGATCCCATGGGGATGGATCCTACAGGGATGCGTGTCCCCGGGGATGGAGCCCACAGGGATGGAGCCCACAGGAATGGAGCCCATAGGGTGATCCTACAGGGGTGGATCCTACAGGGATGGGTCCCACAGGGCTGATCCCACGGGGATGGATGATCCCACAGGGATGGATGATCCCACAGGGATTGGAACCCACAGGGATGGATCCCACAGGGATGGATGATCCCACAGGGCTGATCCCACAGGGATTGGATCCCACAGGGATGGATGATCCCACAGGAATGGATGATCCCACAGGGCTGATCCCTCAGGGTTGATCCCACAGGGATGGATGATCCCATAGGGTTGATCCCACAGGGATTGGAGCCCACAGGGCTGATCCCACAGGGATGGATGACCCCACAGGGCTGGATCCCACAGGGCTGATCCCACAGGAATGGATGACCCCACAGTGGTGATCCCCCCGTGCTGTGCCCCAGGGTGACCCCAGCAGGTCCCTGCAGAGGACAGGGTTTCCAGGTCCTGGGCCCGGTGGTGCCGGTGCAGCAGAGGAGCAGGGCCGTGTGGGAGGGGTCAGCAGGCTGGAATCAGGGCATGGAGCTTGGGAGATCTCTCTGGGATCATCCAGTCCAAGCATTCCAGCAGCAGCTGGCCCACCCAGCTGACCAGCTGCCTGTGCTGGGGTGCCAAGCGGCTCCTGGGCTGTGTGTGCCCACGGCTCCCTGGAAGGGCTGGCCCGAGGCTCAGTGAGCAGTCACGGGCTCCCAGTGCCGCCAGGTGAGGTGTCACCAGCCTGCAGGGTGTCTGTGCATGGAGCACAGCACGATGTCAGCCCCAAAACCACCTCAGAAGGATCCGTCAGGACCCTGCAGGAACCAGCCCTGCTCAAAGCCCACATCAAAGGCCTGAGCTCAATGGCAGGAACTGCTCCCAGCACGGGGCCTGCGTGAGGAGGAGCAGGATGAGCCCAGGGTGGTGAGGAGCAGGAGCAGGATGAGCCCAGGGTGGTGAGGAGCGGAGCAGGAGCAGGATGAGCCCAGGGTGGTGAGGAGGAGCAGGGGCAGGATGAGCCCAGGGTGGTGAGGAGCAGCATGAGCCTGAGGTGAGGAGGAGCAGGATGAGCCCAGGGTGGGGAGGAGCAAGATTAGCCCAGGGCTGTGGAAGGAGCAGGATGAGCCCAGGGTGGTGAGGAGCAGGATGAGCCCAGGGTGAGGAGGAGCAGGATGAGCCTGGGGTGGTGAGGAGCAGGATGAGCCCAGGGTGAGGAGGAGCAGGAGCAGCATGAGCCTGGGGTGAGGAGGAGCAGGATGAGCCCAGGGCTGTGGAAGGACTCGTGGGACAGCAGGGTGGGGGCAGAACAAGAAGCCCATTGTCCATTGTTGGCTGCACACAGCCAGCAGCCGTGTCTGGAGGGAGGGCACAGGCGCCTCGTGGTGCTCTGCTCAGGGCTGGGTGGATCCAGGGAACGTTCCCTGGGGAGGAGCTGCTGTGCCCACTGTGATGCCAGGCTCAGCGTGGGGGTGAGCCTGCTGAGCCCACACCTGGTGCCAGGGAGAGAACCCAGGGCTGGATGTGAGCCCAGTGGGCATGGGGGCACCTGGCTTGTGTCACCTGGCTTGTGTCACCTGGCTTGTGTGCACACTGGCACGGGGGCAGGAAGGAGCAGGATGAGCCCAGGGCTGTGCCCATCCCACTGAGCTGGGCAGGGCTGAGTGCCCAGCCTGAGCCCTGGGGTCAGTTTTGGGTCCCCAGAGGCAGCTGGCTTGTGTCACCTGGCTTGTGTGCCCACTGGCACCACCAGGGCAGTGCCCATCCCAAGCTGGGCAGGGTGAGTGCCCAGCCTGAGCCCTGGGGTCAGTTTTGGGTCCCCAGAGCAGGACAGGGAGGGGCTGGAGCTGGGACAGGCTGAGGGGTCTGGGGGGGCTCAGCCTGGAGAAAAGGAGGCTCAGGAGGGACCTTGTGGCTCTGCACAGGAGAAACCTCAGTGGGGGAGCCAAGTCCAGCTCTGAGGCTCCCAGCAGGGATCAGAGAGGGAATTTAGGCTGGGACCAGCTAAGAAAGTCCCCCTGCTCTGCCCAGGGGAGCCCAGGGGCAGCTGGAGCCCAAGAGGAGGAGCAGCCAGGTCAGGCTCTGCTCCCCAGCAACAGGAGGAGAGAAAAAGTCTTTTTGGGCTCCTCATCACCATCATGGCCCTGACCTTTGGATATGAGGTACCCACCCCTGGAGACCCTGAGGGGTCCAGAGCCAGGAGTGGGGCTGGGGAAGGGGCTGCAGCACCAGGAGAGGCTGAGGGAGCTGGGAAAGGGGCTCAGCCTGGAGAAAAGGAGCTCAGGAGGGGCCTTGGCTCTGCACAACAGGAGGGGACAGCCAGGTGGGGTTTGGGATCTGCTCCCAGGGGACAGGAGGAGACAAAAAGGCATCCAGGGGAGGTTGAGGTTGGAATTTAGGGAAAATTCCTTAATGAAAAGCTGCTCAGGTGGAGTCCCCACAACTGCCTGACAGGGGAAACAGTCAGGTGGGTTTGGGCTCTGCTCTCAGGTGAGAGGATGAAACAAAAAGGCATCCAGAGGAGGTTTAGGTTGGAATTTAGAGAAGATTCCCTTGGCTGCTCAGGCCAAGGGTGGAGTCACTACAACTCCCTGACAGGAGGGGACAGCCAGGTGGGGTTTGGGATCTGCTCCCAGGGGACAGGAGGAGACAAAAAGGCATCCAGGGCAGGTTTTTAGGATTTTAGGGAGAATTCCCTCATGGAAAAGGCAGCCCACGGGAGGCTCCTGGGGTGGGTGAGCTGGAGATGTTCCCAGGCTGGGTGTGGGTCCAGCCCCCAGCCCTGCAGCTGCTGGGGCAGATAAGGGGCCCTGTCCTGCCCCTCCCAGGCTGGCCTCAGATACTGAGGTGGGTCCACAACGAACATTCCCCCCCAAATCCCCCTCCTGGCTCCACCCTGGGGTGAAGCTCTGGTGGGACTCACTGCTGGGGTAAGGGCATTCCTCGTGGATCACCTTTTGGAGAAAAGTTGGGTTTTTGCTAAACTTTACTGGGTTTTTTATTGTTTTTTTAATGGAGGCTCTGAGGTTTGGTGCTTAGAAAAGAAGGAAAAGTTTTCGTGAGGGGTCAGAGCTGGAGTAGTCTCTGGCTGATGATTTCCTTTTGCATCCTCTCTGAACCAATATTCCCTTGTTTTCTGGAAATCTCCCTTTCAAACCCGATGGAATTTCACAGAGGATTCGGTGCTTTGTTGGCTTCCCCTGGGAGTTTGAGCTCCTGGATGCCTCCTTATCCCTCCCAACCCCATTCCAGATCCTGCCAGGCTTTAATTTAAACCCAGGCTGTGATGAAGGAGTTAAACCTGCTCTTAACCCACTTCCCACTGCCTGGGGGGGTTGAGGGGCCTGGGAGGGTTTGGGGGTGCAGGGAAGGGGGGTGAGATGTGGTTTCCTCACCAGGGGAATTCCCTGCTCATTTCCTGCCTGGGGTTTCACAATCAGCTCCAGCTGCCCCTGGGCTCTCCTGGGCACAGCAGAGAGACTTCCTTAGCTGGTCCCAGCCTAAATTCCCTCTCTGATCCCTGCTGGGAGCTCAGAGCTGGAATTGGGTCCCTCACTGGGGTTTCTCAGAGCTGGCAGAGCCTGGGAAGTGAATCTGTCTCTGTCCCCCTCTCTCCTGCCAGCTCTGATTTTCCATCCTGGTAGTCTTCTATTAATAATATTAATATTATTAACTATCCTTTGTTATAATAACTTTTAAGATCAAACTATTTAATTAGGGAATGATACTTAAATTATTTCCTCTTTGAACTAAATAACTAATCTCTCCAAGTCCAGACTTTTTTGTTTAATTACAAAATACTACTTAAACTTATGAAGAAGAAGGAAAATAATAACAATTTGTTTCTGCCTTAAAACTTTTCATCTTTATTACTGTACTTCAAAACTCTAAGTTTTCTACTTTGTGGTATTACACACTTTTAACTAATTGCACACGTGTAATCTTAGTGCTATTAATTAATTTTGGAAGCTTTCTTCACAGCCTCAGGCCCAATGCAGTGGGGATTTTTTGTGCCTTTCAGCACAGAAAATTAAAAATTCTTAACACCTAGGGCTCTGACTCACCCTGACAGGATTTTTCCTTTTTTCCAGCCAATGTGTCCAAAGTGAAGCAGCTCCCAGAGCAGGGCAAGGCCTCCCCCATGGGCACCTCAGACATGGAGAGGAAAGCGTCCTACGGTGAGCCTGGCACAGGAAGGGGGGCACGGGGGGGCTGCCCTCATCCCCCTGTCCTTCACCCTTCTTTTTGGGGTGCTGGGCTGAGCCCTCATCCCCCCTTTCTCTTCTCCCTGCTTTTGGGGTGCCGGGCTGAGCCCTGATCCCCCCCCCCCCCCCCCCCCCCCCCCCGCTCTTTGGGCCCGGACAGGATTTTTCCTTTTTTCCAGCCAATGTGTCCAAAGTGAAGCAGCTCCCAGAGCAGGGCAAGGCCTCCCCCATGGGCACCTCAGACATGGAGAGGAAAGCGTCCTACGGTGAGCCTGGCACAGGAAGGGGGGCACGGGGGGGCTGCCCTCATCCCCCTGTCCTTCACCCTTCTTTTTGGGGTGCTGGGCTGAGCCCTCATCCCCCCTTTCCCTTCTCCCTGCTTTTTGGGGTGATGGGCTGAGCCCTTGCAGCACCCCAGGGTCACTGAGCCCAGCTGAACCAGCCCAACCAGCCCGGCCTGGGCAGGAATGTCCTGGGGGAAATCTGCCAGCAGGATCCCAGCACACCTAGGCACCTTTGAGCAGGGTTCCCTGCACACCTGGGCAGCCCCAGCAGGATCCCAGCACACCTGGGCAGCTCTGAGCAGGCATCCCAGCACACCTGGGCAGCCCAAGCAGGATCCCAGCACACCTGGGCAGATCCCAGCACACCTGGGCAGCCCCAGCAGGGTTCCCTGTGTAAGGAGGCCCTGGCCGGGCTCGGGAGGCCGGGAGGAGGAGGAGGAGGAGCCCGGGTGATGCAATAGGAGCTGGGCAGAGCTGCCCTGTCCCTGCCCTGTCCCTGCCCTGTCCCAGAGCCGCGCTGCTGCCGGGGAGGGAATGGCCCCTGGGGAGAGCAGCAGTGAGTGGGGGGCTCTGGGGGTTTGTATGGGATTGGGAGAGAGTGTGGGATCATGTATGGGACTGGGATCCTGTATGGGATTGTGTGGGGAGGGAGTCTGGGGTTGTGTGGGACTGGGAGAGAGGATGGGATCAAGTATGGGATTGGGAGACAATAGGGGATTTTATAGGGTTGGAAGAGAGTATGGGGTTGTGTGGGACTGAGAGAGAGTGTGGGGTTGTGTGGGATTGTATGGGATTGGGAGAGAGTGTGGGATCATGTATGGGACTGGGATCCTGTATGGGATTGTGTGGGGAGAGAGTGTGGAATTCGGAGAGAGTGTGTGGTTGTGTGGGACTGGGAGAGAGTGTGGGGTTGTGTGGGATTGGGAGTGGGGTTGTATAGGATTGGGAGAGAGTGTGGGGTTGTGTGGGATTGGGAGTGGGGTTGTATAGGATTGGGAGAGAGTGTGGGATCAAGTATGGGATTAGGAGAGAATATGGATTGTGTAGGGCTGGGAAAAAGTGTGGGGTTGTGTGGGATTGTATAGGATCTGGAGTGATTGTGGGGTTGTGTGGGGCTGGGAGAGAGCCTGGGATGGAGATTTTGCTGGCAGTGGTGGGGGCACAGGGTGGCGGTGTGGGGATGGGGAATTTGGGAATGTGGCAGTGTGGGGATGGGGAATTTGGGGATGTGGCAGTGTGGGGATGGGGAATTTGGAGATGTGTGAATTTGGGAATGTGGCAGTGTGGGGATGTGGGAATTTGGGGATGTGGCAGTGTGGGGATGGGGAATTTGGGGATGTGGCAGTGTGGGGATGTGGGTATGTGGGAATTTGGGGATGTGGCAGTGTGGGGACCTGCTGGGGTGACCCTGCCCGTTTCCTCCCTCCTCACCTTTGGGAGCTCAGTGCTGGCTGTCCCTGCTGGGGCTGTGCCATCTCCTGGCTGTCCCTTGCTCCAGGTGTTGGATTTCCCTGGGATCCAGCCAGGAGAGGCTGGGATGAATGTGCAGGGGCAGTCCCAGATTTCTCTGGGATCTGACTCATCCAGATTAATTCTTAATTAATCATTAATCATTTTGGGGACGCTGCTCCTGCCACCACTCCAGATCAGCCCACAGAATGGGCTTTTTTAAAATTACCTGGAATAAATAAATAAATCCCAGCCTCCAGCCTGGAACCAGGAGGGAGAGGAGCCTCTGAGGGATGCAGCAGTGTGGGATATTTTAATTTAATTACCCCTTTATCACTTAATTGCTATCAACCGTGCTGGCTTGTTGTTCTGCTGTGCCTGTGGGGCCCCTGCAGGATCTGCTGCCCTTGCAGGGTGCTCAGTGCTCCTGTCCCTCTGTCCCTGCAGAGGATGTCCCCGGGGAGCCCGGGGGGCTCGGGGGGGTGGTCAGCACCATCTCCAGCAGCAGGAGCCCCCTGCAGCCCCCCGAAGCTGATGATGGGGAGCCCTTCACCACCTACTTCGACAGCAAGATCCCCATCCCTGAGGATGAGACGGTGAGTGGGAAATCCCTGCTGGAAAAGTCTGCCTCAGACACATGTAGGAATGTGGGTTTTGTTGTTCATGGAGTGACAAAACTATCTTTTGCCTTTTTAAAAAGGAAATAAGTTTAGAAGTTTCTCTTTTTAATTAGGTGAAAAGGCATTTTATAGGACTTGGGGGACTTTACTTCAAACTTAAGGATAGATAATTAAACAGAAGCCAAAAAGTTTTGCTTAAGCAATTTATTAGAAATAGAAGAGAACAAAGGAACTGATTGCTTTTGTGGGTGTTTTACCATGGGCAAGAACCTCTTGCACCTGGCTGGGTTTTTCTCTATAAAGAGTTTTGTTATTTTGCCTTTTATTAAAACTTTTCTGTTTCTAACACCACCATCCTGCTGATTTTATGCCATCTGAGGTGGCTGAGCTATCTTGGGTGTGAAATAAATCTCCAAAAACAAATGAGACCTGGCTGGAGGAGACCCTTAAATCAGTGGAGTTAGGGTTTTCTTTTCCTCTTGCACCTGGTTCAGTTTTTCTCTATAAAGAGTTGTGTTATTTTGCCTTTTATTAATTTTTTTTGTTGTTGTTTCTAACACCACCATCCTGCTGATTTGATACCTTCTAAGGTAGCTGAGCTATCTTGGGTGTGAAATAAATCTCCAAGAGTTTCTGAGACCTGGCTGGAGGAGCTCCTTATTTCAGACACCCCCTGAGTCACTCCCACGGGCTCCAGTTCCCCTTCCAGCCTGCACTGGGAACCACTGGGAGGGGGGGAGGGGAGGGGGGGAGGGGTCTCCCGTGGTTTGGGGGACGTGGAGCCCCTGTTAATGATTGATCCCACGGGATTTGGCTCCTGCTTGGAGCAGCCAAAGAGCAGGGAAGGGCCTTGTCAGAGCTCAGGGAGGGACTGGGCTCTTTGTTCCCTTATCAGGGAGTGGGGGCTCTGGCTGGCCTCGTGACTCTGTCCCCTCTGTCCCCTCTGTCCCCTGGCCTTGGCTGCAGCCCCCCGTGTCAGCTGCCAGCAGGGGAGGGTCCTGCTCCCCCCTGGGGCTCCCTGGGTGTCACTTTGGCTCTGGGGACAGCCCAGACTGGGAGCAGCAATCCCAGTTTGGGGTGGGATCAAGGAGCAGGGTTTAGGATGGGATTAGGGAACGGTTTGGTTTTACAGCCCTGCAGAGTTTGGGGTGGGTTAAGGAGCAGGCTGAGCTGGGGTGTTCCAGGAATGTGCCCCTGTTGACGGAGTGACCAAATTATCCTTTGTCTCCTTAAAAAGGAAAAAAGCCCAGAAGTTTGTCTCCTCAGTTAGCAAAGAAGACACCTCATAGGACCTGAGGGACTTCACCTCAAACTTAAGGATTGGACAGGAGCCAAAAAGTCCCACCTAAGCAATTCACTAGAAAAAGAAGAGAGCAAAGGAACTGATTGCTTTTGTGGGGTGTTTTACCAGGAGCAAGAACCTCTTGCACTTAACTCGGGTTTTCTCTATAAAGAGTTTTGTTAATTTGCCTTTTATTAAAACTTTTTCCAACACCACCACAGAAGCCATCCTGCTGATTTTATGCCTTCTAAGGTAGCTGAGCTATCTTGGGTGTGAAATAGATCTCCAAAAACTTATGAGACCTGTCTCAAGGAGATCCTTATATCATTTCCCTCTTGCACCTGGCTCAGTTTTTCTCTATAAAGAGTTTTGTTATTTTGCCTTTTAATAAAACTTTTTTGTTTCTAACACCACCATCCTGCTGATTTTCTACCTTCTAAGGCAGCTGAGCTATCTTGGGTGTGAAATAAATCTCCAGAAACATATGAGACCTGGCTGGAAGTGCCCCTATCGGGTGACAGTGAGGGAATTAATCAATTAATTAGTTAATTTCTGTCCCCTCCTGCAGCATTCCTGCTTCAGCTTCCGCAAGCTGTGGGCGTTCACGGGGCCGGGGTTCCTGATGAGCATCGCCTACCTGGACCCTGGCAACATCGAGTCTGACCTGCAGTCCGGGGCTGTGGCTGGCTTCAAGGTGGGCACAGGGGCACCCCCGGGGGCTGGGGGGGCTGGCTGCACCCCACAGAGGTGTGGGGTCACATCCCCGTGGCTCTGGGGACATTTGGGATGTGCCATCCCTGTGGTTGTGGGGACATTGGGGATGTGCCACCCCTGTGACTGGAGACATTTGGGATTTGTCATCCCTGTGACTCTGGGGACATTTGGGATGTGCCACCCCTGTGGGGACATTTGGGGTCTCCCATCCCTGTGGTTGTGGGGACATTGGGGATGTGCCACCCCTGTGGCTCTGGGAAGTGCTGTGGGGAAAATGTCCCATCCCTGTGACTCTGGGGACATTTGGGATGTCCCATCCCTGTGGCTGTGGGGACACTGGGGATGTCCCACGCAGGAGGGCGAGCAGGATCCTTCTGACTCTGGGGACATTTGGGATGTCCCATCCCTGTGACTGTGGGGACACTGGGGATGTCCAACGCAGGAGGGCGAGCAGGATCCTGGCTTGGTGTCCCTTTGGATCCACCCCACAGCATTTGGGATTGGCACTCCAAAACCTCCACAGCGGGGCTTTGAGCAGCCCAGCACCGTGGGGGTCCTGGGGCTGCCCGTGTCCCCCCACCCACTGGTGTCCCCCGTGTCCCCAGCTGCTGTGGGTGCTGCTGCTGGCCACCATCATCGGGCTGCTGCTGCAGCGGCTGGCAGCCAGGCTGGGCGTGGTCACCGGGCTGCACCTGGCAGAGGTGTGCCACCGCCAGTACCACAAGGTGGGTGCCAGGGGCTGGGGTGGGTGGGTGACACTCCCCCAGGTGCTCAGGGTGGGTGGGTGACACTCCTTGGGGTCCTCAGAAGGGGTGGGTGACACTTCTCCAAGTCCTCAGGGGAGGCTGGGATGGGGGGGACACTCCCCCAAGTCCTCCGGGGTGGGTGACAATCCCCTAGGTCCTTAGGGGAGGTGAGGTGGGTGGGTGACACTCCCCCAGCTGCTCAGGGTGGGTGGGTGACACTCCCTGGGGTCCTCAGGAAGGGTGGGTGACACTCCCCCAGTCCTCAGGGCTGCCACAGGCTCTGGGGACAGTCCTGGGGGATTGGGGAAGATTGGGGGGGTGGGGGACAGAAGGTGGGTGACCCCCCGGTGTCCCTGGTGGTGCCAGGGGGTCCCTGAGGCCTGGCTGCTCCTGGGGGGGTTTCAGGGTCTCCTGGTGCCCCCCTGGTTTGGGAGGCACAAGGAGGGGCAGGGGGATGTTGGCATTTCCCAGTCAGGAATAAAGTGTGGGATTTCAGCTGCCTGCCAGCGCGGGAATGCTGAACATCCCGAGGAATTGTGAGGAGAGAAATTCCTTTATGCCAAAACCTGGCTTAGGTTTGGGTCATTTCCTGCCTGTTGGGGAATTCCTTGGGTTGGCACGAGGAACATCTGCTGCTGATGAGTGACAGGGGCTGTGGGGACACTGGGGATGTGCCATCCCTGGGGCTGTGGGGAAAATGGGACTGTGGGGAAAATGTCCTGAACCTGTGGCTGTGGGGAAAATGTCTCATCCCTGTGCTTGTGGGGACATTTGGGAATGTCCCACCCCTGTGACTGTGGGGAAAATGTCACATCCCTGTGGCTGTGGGGACATTTGGGAATGTCATATCCCTGTGACTGTGGGGAAAATGTCACATCCCTGTGACTGTGGGGAGATTTGGGAATGTCATATCCCTGTGACTGTGGGGAAAATGTCACATCCCTGTGACTGTGGGGACATTTGGGAATGTCATATCCCTGTGACTGTGGGGAGATTTGGGAATGTCATATCCCTGTGACTGTGGGGACATTGGGGCTCTCCCATCCCTGTGACTGTGGGGACATTTGGGATCTCCCATCCCTTTATCTGTGGGGACATTCAGGATGTCCCATCCCTGTGACTCTGGGGACATTTGGGATGTCCCTGTGGCTGTGGAGACATTTGGGATGTGCCATCCCTTTATTTGGGGGGATATTTGGGATGTCCCATCCCTGTGACTCTGGGGACATTTAGGATCTCCCATCCCTTTATCTGTGGGGACTTTTGGGATCTCCCATCCTTGTGACTTCAGGGACTTTTGGGATCTCCCATCCCTGTGACTCTGTGGACATTTAGGATCTCCCATCCCTTTGACTTTGGGGACTTTTGGGTTGTCCCATCCCCGTGACTCTGGGGACACTGGGGATGTCCCTGTGCCTGTAGGGACATTGGGAATGTCCCATCCCTTTATTTGTGGGACACTGGGGTGCCATCCCTGTGTCTGGGGACATTGAGGTGCCATCCCTGTGCCCTTGGGCGTTGCCCATCCTGGCTCGGCGTCCCTGCTGTGCCCTGGAATGTGTCCCCACGCTTTGCCCAGGATGTCCCATCCCTGTGACTCTGGGGACATTTGGGATGTCCCTGTGGCTGTGGAGACATTTGGGATGTGCCATCCCTTTATTTGGGGGGATATTTGGGATGTCCCATCCCTGTGACTCTGGGGACATTTAGGATCTCCCATCCCTTTATCTGTGGGGACTTTTGGGATCTCCCATCCTTGTGACTTCAGGGACTTTTGGGATCTCCCATCCCTGTGACTCTGTGGACATTTAGGATCTCCCATCCCTGTGACTTTGGGGACTTCTGGGTTGTCCCATCCCCGTGACTCTGGGGACACTGGGGATGTCCCTGTGCCTGTAGGGACATTGGGAATGTCCCATCCCTTTATTTGTGGGACACTGGGGTGCCATCCCTGTGTCTGGGGACATTGAGGTGCCATCCCTGTGTCTGGGGACATTGGGGTGCCATCCCTGTGCCCTTGGGCGTTGCCCATCCTGGCTCGGCGTCCCTGCTGTGCCCTGGAATGTGTCCCCACGCTTTGCCCACGGCTGCAGCTCCCACATTCCTGGCTCACAGCTGGCCCTGTGCCCAGGGCAGCAGCTGGGGTGGCACAGGTGCCCTGGCACCTCCCTGGCACTGCCAAAGCAGCTGGGGTGGCACAGGTGCCCTGGCACCTCCCTGGCACTGCCAAAGCAGCTGGGGTGGCACAGGTGCCCTGGCACCTCCCTGGCACTGCCACAGCAGCTGGGCTTTCACCTCCAGGGCAGCCCTGGGTGCCTCCCACCCCAGGGCAGGGTGCTGACCCCATTCCTGCACGCGGGGTCACCACGGGATGAGATGATGTTTTTTCCTGGTTTTTCCCTGATTTTCCCTGGTGTTTCCTGCTTTTTTCCTGTTTTTTTTCTGGTTTTCCCTGTCTTTTCCCTGCTTTTCCCTGTTTTTCCCTAATTTTCCATTTTTTTCCCTGCTTTTTCCCTGTTTGGTTTTCCCTGGTTTATTCCTGGGGTTTTTTCCCTGCTTTTCCCTGGTTTTCTCCCCATTTTCCCCCCATTTCCCCTGTTTTCCCCCATTTTTCCTCCATTTTTCACTGTTTCACCCCATTTTTTTTCCCGTTTTCCCCCATTTTTCTGTTTCCTCCATTTTCCCCCCGTTTTTCCATTTCCCCCTTTTTCCCCTGTTTTCCCCCATTCTCCCTGTTTTCCCCCTGGTTTTCCCCCATTTTCCCCCTGTTTTCCCCTTTTCCCCATTTTCCCTCCATTTTTCCTCCATTTTTTCCCCTGTTTTCCCCCATTTTTCCCCATTCTCCCTGTTTTACCCTGTTTTCCCCCCATTTTCTCCCAGGTTTTCCCCCATTTTTCTGTTTCCCCTATCCTGGCTCGGCGTCCCTGCTGTGCCCTGGAATGTGTCCCCACGCTTTGCCCACGGCTGCAGCTCCCACATTCCTGTCTCACAGCTGGCCCTGTGCCCAGGGCAGCAGCTGGGGTGGCACAGGTGCCCTGGCTCCTCCCTGGCACTGCCACAGCAGCTGGGCTTTCACCTCCAGGGCAGCCCTGGGTGCCTCCCACCCCAGGGCAGGGTGCTGACCCCATTCCTGCACGCGGGGTCACCACGGGATGAGATGATGTTTTTTCCTGGTTTTTCCCTGATTTTCCCTGGTGTTTCCTGCTTTTTTCCTGTTTTTTTTCTGGTTTTCCCTGTCTTTTCCCTGCTTTTCCCTGTTTTTCCCTAATTTTCCATTTTTTTCCCTGCTTTTTCCCTGTTTGGTTTTCCCTGGTTTATTCCTGGGGTTTTTTCCCTGCTTTTCCCTGGTTTTCTCCCCATTTTGCCCCCATTTCCCCCCATTTTCCCTGTTTTCCCCCATTCCCCCCGTTTTTCCCATTTTTCCTCCATTTTTCGCTGTTTCACCCCATTTTTTTCCCGTTTTCCCCCATTTTTCTGTTTCCTCCATTTTCCCCCCGTTTTTCCATTTCCCCCTTTTTCCCCTCTTTTTCCCTGTTTTCCCCCATTTTCCCCCTGTTTTCCCCTTTTCCCCATTTTCCCTCCATTTTTCCTCCATTTTTTCCCCTGTTTTCCCCCATTTTTCCCCATTCTCCCTGTTTTACCCTGTTTTCCCCCCATTTTCTCCCAGGTTTTCCCCCATTTTTCTGTTTCCCCTGCTTTTCCCCGTTTTCCCCATTTTCTCCTATTTTCCCCATTTTCCCTCCGTTTTTCCCCCTGTTTCCCCCACCCCCCCTTTCCCCCCGTTTCCCCTCTCCCCCGTTCTCACGCTGCCGCTGTCCCAGGTCCCTCGGATCCTGCTGTGGCTGATGGTGGAGCTGGCCATCATCGGCTCCGACATGCAGGAGGTGATCGGCTCGGCCATCGCCATCAACCTGCTCTCCATGGGCAGGTGAGCCTCGGCAGGGAGCCCCAAAACTCCCAGATTTCCCAGGAATTCCCCCAAATCAGCCCCAGGGTGTCAGTCACCTGCCTGGTGAGCCCTCGCCACCGCGGGGCTGGGCTGGATTTTACCTCTGTGTCTTTGATTTCATTCATTTTACCTTTGATTTCATTTGGTTTACCTTTGTTTATACCTTTGATTTTATTCATTTTATCTTTTATTTGATTTGTTGTATCGTTGTATTTTTGATTTCATTTGTTTGTACCTTTGATTTCATTTATTTTACCTTTGATTTGATTTGTTTTACCATTGTATCTTTGATTTCATTTGTTTTATCTTTGTGTCTTTGATTTAATTTGTTATACCTTTGATTTCATTTGTTTGTACCTTTGATTTCATGTATTTTACCATTGGTTTGATTTGGTTTACCTTTGTTTATACCTTTGATTTTATTCATTTTATCTTTTATTTGATTTGTTGTATCGTTGTATTTTTGATTTCATTTGTTTGTACCTTTGATTTCATTTGGTTTACCTTTGTTTATACCTTTGATTTTATTCATTTTATCTTTTATTTGATTTGTTTTACCATTATATCTTTGATTTCATTTGTTTTATCTTTGTGTCTTTGATTTAATTTGTTTTATCTTTGTATCTTTGATTGAATTTGTTTTATCTTTGTGTCTTTGATTTGATTTTTTTACCTTTGTTTATACCTTTGATTTGATTTGTTTTACCATTATATCTTTGATTTCATTTGTTTTATCTTTGTACCTTTGATTTCATTTGTTTTACCTTTGATTGTATCTTTGATTTCATTTGTTTTTACCTCTCTATCTTGGATTGTGTCTTTGATTTCTTTTACTTTGTTTGTACCTTTGATTTCATTTATTTTACCTTTGATTTGATTTATTTTACCTTTCTATCTTTGATTTGATTTGTTTTATTTTTGTATCTTTGACTTGGTTTGCTTTATCTTTGATTGTACCTTTGATTTAATTTGTTTTATCTTTGTATCTTTGATTGAATTTGTTTTATCTTTGTACCTTTGATTTCATTTGTTTTACCTTTGATTGTATCTTTGATTTCATTTGTTTTTACCTCTCTATCTTGGATTGTGTCTTTGATTTCTTTTACCTTTGATTGTACCTTTGATTTCATTTGTTTGTACCTTTGTTTGTACCTTTAATTTGATTTCTTTTACCTTTTTTTGTACCTTTTTGTTACAAAATCGGGGTGCAGCTTCCTGCCAAGCTGCACATCCCATTCAGGACTGGGAAGGGGGAATGGGGTGTGCCAGGATTCAGGCATTCCTGAGGCAGGATGGTGCTGCAGTGTCTGAAATTGCTGCAAAGTCTGAAATTTGCTGCAATATTTTAAATTTGGTGCACTGTTTTACATTTTTTGCAATATTTCAAATCTGGTGCAATGTCTTAAATCTGGTGCAATATTTTAAATCTGGTGCAATATTTTAAATTTGCTGCAATATTTCAAATCTGGTGCAATGTTTCAAATCTGCTGCAATATTTTAAATTTGGTGCAATGCCTTAAATTTGCTGCAGTATTTTAAATCTGGTGCAATATTTTACAGCTTGATGGACACATAGCTCAGCAGTTTGGGCAGCATGTGTCTAATCTCATTCTGAATATTTTGTTTTTTTAAGCAGAGTGTTCATCTGTCTCTTCATCACCGACCTCCAGTTCTCACACTCTTTTCTTTTCCTTCTTCGGGCAAAATATTTTTGTGCAAAACATTAATCCCAAGAATGTCATTAATCCCAGGATCTTTTTGGGTGGAAAATCAGCACAATTTTCAGTATTTTGTTGCCTCCCTGTGCTGGGCCATCCCATGGGAATCCCTCTGCTCCTGGGAAAGGCTGTGTGGGACTGGCAGGGCTGGGAGGTGACCTCAGGTCCCTGTGGTCCCTTGTCCTGCTCAGGCCCTGAAGAGCCCCCAGCCCTACACTCCATCCCAAAAAAGCCCTAAAGGGAAGGGATTTGGGGCTCTGGGTGGGCGCTGACCCCGCTCTCCCCACAGGATCCCGCTCTGGGGGGGAGTGCTCATCACCATCGCCGACACCTTCGTCTTCCTCTTCCTCGACAAATACGGTGAGTTCTGCTGTGGGGCTGGGCTTGGGATCGGGGTTGGGATTGGGGTTGGGACTGGGTTGGGATTGGGGTTGAGACTGGGGTTGGGATCGGGGTTGGGATTGGGATTGAATTTGGGATTGGGGCTGGGATTGGGATTGGGGCTGGGATTGGGATTGGGGTTGGGATTGGGATTGAATTTGGGATTGGGTCTGGGATTGGGATTGGAGCTGGGATTGGGGTTGGGGTTGGGATTGGGATTGAATTTGGGATTGGGGCTGGGATTGGGTTTGGGATTGAAATTCGGATTGGGGTTGGGATTGGGATTGGTTCTGGGATTGGGATTGGGTCTGGGATTGAAATTGGGATTGGGGTTGGGATTGGGTCTGGGATTGGGATTGGTGTAGGGTCTGGGATTGGGATTGGGCTCTTCTCAGCTTGGTGACAAAGGGACTTCTTCTCCTTGCAGGCCTGAGGAAGCTCGAGGCGTTTTTTGGGCTCCTCATCACCATCATGGCCCTGACCTTTGGATATGAGGTACCCACCCCTGGAGACCTGAGGGGTCCAGAGCCAGGAGTGGGGCTGGGGAAGGGGCTGCAGCACCAGGAGAGGCTGAGGGAGCTGGGAAAGGGGCTCAGCCTGGAGAAAAGGAGCTCAGGAGGGGCCTTGGCTCTGCACAACAGGAGGGGACAGCCAGGTGGGGTTTGGGATCTGCTCCCAGGGGAGACAAAAAGGCATCCAGGGGAGGTTTAGGTTGGAATTTAGAGAAGATTCCTTCATGGAAAAGCTGCTCAGGTGGAGTCCCCACAATTCCCTGACACGAGGGGGGAAAGCCAGGTGGGGTCAGGCTCTGCTCCCAGGTGAGGGGATGAGAGGAGATGTCCTCCTGGGGGAGGCTGAGGTTGGATACTGGGGACAATTCCTGCCTGGAAAGGGCTGTCACACTGGTACAGGCTGCCCAGGACAGGGAGGGAGTCCCAGTGCCCAGGAATTTAAAAGCCACGTGGCTGTGGCACGTGGGGACACGGGCAGTGCTGAACCCGGTGATCCCAGAGTCTCTTCCTCCTTAAGAACCTCTTCCCATCCTTACCAATTCCACCATTCAGTGCTGTGATCCCACCCCTGTGCCAAAACAGCACCAAACACAGGCAGGGACATGTAAAATCAAGGAGATTTGAGTCTGCCTCGTGGTTTCTCTCTGAAGCACCCCAAAACTCCATTTCCTTGTTTCCCTGACCCCAAAACTCCATTTCCCTGTCTCTGACCCCAAAAACTCCCTGTTTCCCTGTCTCTGTGCCCAAAACTCCGTTTCCCTGTCCCTCACCCCAAAATTCCCTGTCCCTGGCCCCCAAACTCCCTGTTTCCCTGTCCCTGTGCCCAAAACCCCATTTCCCTGACCCCAAAACTCTGTTTCCCTGTCCCTCCCCCCAAAATTCCCTTTCCCTGACCCCAAAACTCCGTTTCCCTGTTGCTGACCCCAAAAATCCCTGTTTCCCTGTCCCTATGCCCAAAACTCCATGTTTCCCTGTCCCTGTGCCCAAAACTCCGTTTCCCTGACCCCAAAATTCCGTTTCCCTGTCCCTCACCCCAAAATTCCCTGTCCCTGACCCCAAAAACTCCCTGTTTCCGTGTCCCTGACCCCAAACTTCCCTGTGCCTGTGCCCAGTACATCACGGTGAAGCCCAACCAGGAGAAGCTGCTGCAGGGCTTGTTCATCCCCTACTGCCAGGACTGTGGCACTCCCCAGCTGGAGCAGGCCGTGGGCATCGTGGGCGCCGTCATCATGCCCCACAACATGTACCTGCACTCTGCCCTGGTCAAGGTGAGCGTGCCAGGGGGGACCTGGGCTTGGGACATGTCCCCAGAGGAGCCTGGGGACACCTGGGAACAACTCCTCTTGGTTTGGAAAGCCAGGTGTGTGCTGAGGAAGGCAGGAGCCTCCCCTGAAATGGAAAATGGAAACCCCCTCCCTCTGAATTGTTGTAAATTTGAAATTAAGGGGCTCTCAGGCAGAGATATGGGAATAGGAGTAACTAGGGAAGTTATTCTTTGCTAGGAAGACAGTTTCTTTACTGGGAAAGAAATAGTATTCTTTATTAGAGAAAGAAATAGTGTTCTTTATAAATTCTTGATTTGTATTTCTTTACTAGAAATATCCAGGCAGGAATGTTTGAAATCTCAGATTGTATCCAGTTAGGAATGTTTGAAATCTCAGATTCTATCCAGGTAGGAATGCTTGGCTCCTCCCCTGGGTGGAGCATCTCCCAATGGATGATGGAATTTTATCAGCCATGCAGGGACACTCACTGGCCCATGAAGAGAAGATAATTAATCATTAATGGCCCATGAACAGAAGAGTGCCTCCCTTCTGGAGGGAGGATTGGTTGTGGGAGAGGTAAAGAAACTGCCCAATTAACAGAAGATAGCTGCCCTATGAACAGAAGATATCTAGCCCAATTAACAGAAGATATCTACCCCAATTAACAGAAGATATCTAGCCCAATTAACAGAAGATAACTGTCCAGTTAGAAGATATCTGCCCTACTTCTACTGGCTGGCAATAGAGCACACATTTCCAGCCCAGGACAGAGGTGGCACCCAGGGTTCTGCCAGGCAGGATCCGTGTCCCACCATCAGCTCTGATCCCAGGGGCTCACGGGGAATTCTGTCCCCCCCTCCTGTCCCTGTCCCCCCAGTCCCGGCAGGTGAACCGTGCAGACAAGAGGGAGGTGAGAGAGGCCAACAAGTATTTCTTCATCGAGTCGTGCATCGCGCTCTTCGTCTCCTTCATCATCAACATCTTCGTGGTGACCGTCTTCGCCGAGGCCTTCTTCGACAAGACCAACGCCGACGTGGTGGGTGGCACTGGGATGGACTGGGATGGACTGGGAGCTGCAGTGGCATGGAGGGGTGAGGGCAGTGCCCATCCCGCTGTGCTGGGCACTGCTGAGGTCAGAGCCTGAACCCTGGGGTTGGTTTTGGGCTCCTTGAGGGGCTGGAGCACATCCAGAGCTGGGAGTGGGGATGGGGAAGGGTTTGGGGCATCAGGAGAGGCTGAGGGGGCTCAGAGGGGTCTTCTCACTCCCCAGACCTGCCCAAGAGGAGGGGACAGCCACGTGGGGGTCAGGCTCTGCTCTCAGGGGACAGGAGGAGACAAAAAGACATCCAGGGGAGGTTTAGGTTGGAATTTAGGGAAAAATCCTTCATGGAAAAGCTGCTCAGGCCAAGGGTGGAGTCACCACAACTCCCTGACAGGGGAAACAGCCAGGTGGGGGTCAGGCTCTGCTCCCAGGGGACAGGAGGGGACAAAAAGGCATCCAGGGGAGGTTTTTAGCATTTTAGGGAAAATTCCTTGATGGAAAAGCTGCTCAGGCCAGGGGGAGATCCCCATCCCTTGAGGGGGTTTAACAACTGTGTGGATGTGGCACTTGGGGACGTGGTCACTGGTGGCAGTGCTGAGATCACTGCTGGACCCCGTGGTCCCAGAGGGTTTTCCAAGGGTTTTCCATCCCGAGCCTGTCCCTTATGCCACCCTCCCGTGCCCTTGCAGAGCCAGGTCTGTGCCAACAGCAGCAGCCCCCACTCCTCACTGTTCCCCAACAACAGCGACGCTCTGGAGGTGGACATCTACAAGGGGGTGAGTGTCCCTGGGGGGGACAGCCTTGTGGCCCTGTCTGGTGTCCCCACAGGGTGACACCATGTCCAGGGCAGTCCAGGGACCCTGTCTGGTGTCCCCTGGGGGGCACAGGCCAGTGACCCTGTCTGGTGTCCCTTGGGGGGCACAGTGACCCTCTGTGGTATCCCCTGGAGGGCACAGCCATGTCCAGGACAGCCCAGTGACCCTGTCTGGTGTCCCCTGGGGGGCACAGCCATGTCCCCCATGTGACCCTGTCTGCTGTCCCCTGGGGGGCACAGTGACCCTGTCTGCTGTCCCCTGGTGTCCCCAGTGACCCTGTCTGGTGTCCCCTGGGGGGCACAGTGACCCTGTCTGCTGTCCCCTGGTGTCCCCAGTGACCCTGTCTGCTGTCCCCTGGTGTCCCCAGTGACTCTGTCTGGTGTCACCTGCCGCTTCTGGATAAACTGGGAGCGCTGGGGCTGGGAGCACGAACAGGATCCCCAGAAGCCGAGTGGGGGTGAGGAGACCCCAGGGGTCCCTGAGCCCCGAGTTTACTCCTGGGTGTAACTGCCCCCCCGGGCTGACGGAGCTGCCCCCCTGCAGGGCGTGGTCCTGGGCTGCTACTTCGGGCCCGCTGCCCTCTACATCTGGGCCATCGGCATCCTGGCGGCCGGGCAGAGCTCCACCATGACGGGCACCTACTCGGGCCAGTTCGTCATGGAGGTAACGCGCTGCTGTCGCCCCTGCTCGCCCCTTACTCACCCCTTACTCACTCCTTAGGCAGTAACGCACTGCTGTCACCCCTGCTCACCCCTTACTCACTCCTTACTCACTCCTTACTCACCCCTTACTCACTCCTTAGGCAGTAACGCGCTGCTGTCACCCCTGCTCACCCCTTACTCACTCCTTACTCACCCCTTCCTCACTCCTTAGGGGGTAATGCGCTGCTGCCGCCCCTGCTCACCTCTTACTCACTCCTTAGGGGGTAACGCGCTGCTGTCACCCCTGCTGACCTCTTACTCACTCCTTACTCCCTCCTAGAGGTAATGCGCTGCTGTCACCCTTACTCACTCCTTACTCACTCCTTAGGGGGTAACGCGCTGCTGTCACCCCTGCTCACCCCTTAGTCACTCCTTAGGGGGTAATGCGCTCCTGCTCACCCTTACTCACCCCTTACTCACCCCTTACTCACTCCTTAGGGGGTAACGTGCTCCTGCTCACCCTTACTCACCCCTTACTCACTCTTTACTCCCTCCTTAGAGGTAACACGCTCCTCCTCACCCCTTACTCACTCCTTACTCCCTCCTTAGGGGGTAACGCATTGCTGCTCACCCTTACTCACCCCTTACTCACTCCTTAGAGGTAACGTGCTCCTCCTCACTCCTTACTCCCTCCTTACTCCGGGTTCTGTACTCCTCGCTCCCTGGTGTCCTTATTCCATACTCCATGCTCCTCACTCCTTACTCCCTCCTTACCCCTGCTGCTCTGTGTCCCTACCCAGGGCTTCCTGAACCTGCGCTGGTCCTGTGCTACTCACACCTTACTCCCACCTTACTCCCGCCCCCAGGGCTTCCTGAGCCTGCGCTGGTCCTGTACTACTCACTCCTTACACCTTACTCTCTCTTTACTCCCACCTTACTCCCACCTTACTCCCCCCCAGGGCTTCCTGAACCTGCGCTGGTCGCGCTTTGCCCGGGTGCTGCTCACGCGCTCCATCGCCATCACCCCCACGCTCTTCGTGGCCATCTTCCAGGACGTGGAGCACCTGACGGGCATGAACGACTTCCTCAACGTGCTCATGAGCCTCCAGGTGAGCGGGGTGGGGTTCAGGGACCTCCAGGTGAGCAGGGTGGGGGTTCAGGAGCCTCCAGGTGAGTGGGGTCAGGGTTTCTGAGCCTCCAGGTGAGTGGGGTCAGGGTTCCTGAGCTCTCAGGTGAGCAGGGTTGGAGTTCAGGAGCCTCCAGGTGAGTGGGGTGGGGTTCAGGAACCTCCAGGTGAGCAGGGTGGGGGTTCAGGAGCCTCCAGGTGAGCGGGGTGGGGGTTCAGGAGCCTCCATGTGAGCGGGGTGGGGGTTCAGGAGCCTCCAGGGTTCCAGAGTGGGCTGGGCTGGGTGTTGAGGGAGGTGTCCCTGCCCTGGTGGAGGCTGGGCTGGGCTTTGCTGAACTGGGCTGAGCTGGGCTGGGCTGAGCTTTGCTGGGCTGGGCTGAGCTGAGCTGGGTGCTGGGGTCCCTCCCAGCCAGCCCGGGGTCCCAGCAGGGTCAGAGCCATCCCCCCCGTCCCTGCTCTGTCCCCTCTCAGCTCCCGTTCGCGCTGATCCCGGTGCTCACCTTCACCAGCCTGCCCGGCGTCATGCACGACTTCGTCAACGGCCTGTGAGTACCTGGGCACACCTGGGCACACCTGGGCATGGGGCACCACACCTGGGCACTCCTACCCCTCACCTGGGCACAACTGGGCACATCTGGGTGCATCTTCCCCTCACCTGGGCATGCCAGGGCATGCCTGCCCCATACCTGGTGCATCCCCTCACCTGGGCACACCCACCCCTCACCTGAGCCCCTCAGCTGGGCGCATCTGGGCAGACCTGCCCTCACCTGGACACACCCACCCCTCACCAGGTCCAGGTGCATCCCCTCACCTGGACACACCTGGGCACCCCTGCCCTCACCAGGTGTGACCTGTCACCTGCAGCCCCCCCTCACCTGCAGCCCCCCTCACCAGGTGTGTCCCCTCACCTGGGCACACCTGCCCCTCACCTGGGCACCCCTGCCCTCACCAGGTGCATCCCCTCTCCTGGGCACCCCTGCCCTCACCAGGTGTGACCTGTCACCTGCAGCCCCCCCTCACCTGCAGCCCCCCTCACCTGCAGCCCCCTCACCAGGCATGTCCCCTCACCTGCAGCCCCCTCACCTGCAGCCCCCTCACCAGGCGTGTCCCCTCACCTGCAGCCCCCTCACCTGCAGCCCCCTCACCTGCAGCCCCCTCACCAGGCGTGTCCCCTCACGTCCTGACCTGCAGCCCCCTGACCTGCAGCCCCCTCACCTGCAGCCCCCTCACCAGGCGTGTCCCCTCACCTGCAGCCCCCCTCACCTGCAGCCCCCTGACCTGCAGCCCCCTCACCAGGCGTGTCCCTTGCGGCAGGTTCTGGCGGGTGGCCGGGGGTCTCCTGATCCTGCTCATCTGCAGCATCAACATGTACTTCGTGGTGGCCTACGTGATGGCGCTGCACAGCCTGGCGCTCTACGTCGGCGCCGCCCTGCTCAGCGTGCTCTACCTGTCCTTCGTGGCCTACCTGGTGAGTGCCCCTGGCAGCTCTGAGCTCACTCCCGTGGTTTTGGGCTCTGTGGGTGCTCAGGGCAGAGTTCAGTTAAGCACGACCTGTCCGGGCCCCTCAGCTTAGCAAGATCAGCTCTAAAGTGAGATCAGCTCTTAGTGATTACCAGCTCATTAGTGATTACCAGCTCATTAGTGATTTCAGCTCGTTTGTGATTCTCAGTTCATTAGTGATTTCAGTTCTTAGTGGTTATCAGCTCGTTAGTGATTTCAGTTCGTTTGTGATTCTCAGCTCATTATTGATTTCAGTTCTTAGTGATTATAAGTTCATTAGTGATTTCAGCTCATTAGTGATTTCAGTTCTTAGTGATTATCAGCTCATTCTTGATTTCAAATCTATAGTGATTTCAGTTCATTAGTGATTTGCAGCTCATTAGTTATTATGAGTTCATTAGTCATTTCAGCTCATTCGTCATTTCAACTCTTTAGTGATTATCAGCTCATTAGTAATGACAGCCCGTTAGTGATTTTGGCTCTTATTAGTGATTATCAGCTTAATTAGTGATTCTCAGCTTTTTAGTGATTTGAGCTATAAGTGATTCTCAGCTCATTAGTGATTTCATCTCCTTAGTGATTATGAGATCATTAGTGATTATCAGCTCATTAGTGATTTCAGCTATAAGTGATTATCAGTTTATTAGTGATTATCAGATCATTAGTGATTGCAGCTCTTTAGTGATTTCAGCTCATTTGAAATTCTCAGCTCATTAGTGATTCTCAGCTATAAGTGATTATCAGCTCATTAGTGATTCTCAGCTATAAGTGATTATCAGCTCATTAGCAGTTCATGTTTGGACTCGTGTGTTTATTATTTCTTATCAGTAAAACAGTCTCACTGCTGTGAGTTCGGCAGCTCTTCATTAGAAGGCACAAAATGCCCAACAATCTCTTGGTACAAGGTCTTGTAAGACTAAACTGTCCAGTTAAGAACTACACCTGGATTGTTTTCCCTTTTAACCCAATCACTGATCCTAAAGAGCCCCAGTGAGGACTTTTCTGCCCAATTACCAAATTGGGCAGACCCAGACCCATGAAGAAGAAACCCAGGACAACACCCTGTGCCTTCTGTTTTGCTTCCATCCACAACATACTGGAAATTTTAAACCCTAAATTTCTCACCCAGGGATACACCTCCACCACTCTCTGTAATCTGTTTCACACTTTGGTGGGTTCCAGTCTAGCTTGAAGTCTGGGAAACTTTCTCCATGGATGAGGGTCAGAGTCAGAGCTCCCCAGAGCAGACAGAGAAATATTCCCAGTGCACAGAAACATTCCCATACCTCCCAATTTCCACGTTCCAGCTGGGGGAGGCTTTGGGGCAGCCAGGGCTCCTCTGGAGCTCCCTGTGTGCCACAGAGGTGACCTGGAGTGACCAAGGAGCCACGGGGTGGGAGGACCTGGGAGGGAGCTGAAATTCTGTCCAACCCCTCTGGGGTTGTGTTTGTTGGGAATGTCCCGACAAAGGCAGGAATGATGGATCTGCCTCCATGCTCTCAGAACACTAATTTGCTGAGGAATTTAAGTTTTAAAATTTTTCGTACGTTGTGGATGGAAGCAAAACAGAAGGTGCTGGGTGTTGTCCTGGGTTTCTTCTTCCTGCTTCTTCATAAGTTCAGGTGACTCTTTGTAACTGGGCAGAAAAACCTGCACTGAATGCTTCCAGGGATCAGTGATTGGGTTAAAAGGGAAAACAATCCAGGTGTAGTTCTTAATTGGACAGTTTAGTCTTATGAGACCTTGTACCAAGAGATTGTTGGGCATTTTGTGCCTTCTAATGAAGAGCTGCTGAGCTCACAGCAGTGAGGCTGTTTTACTGAAACAATAAACAAAAAGCAATTTAAGAAATAATAATAATTTAAAATTTAATAATTAAAGAAATAATAATAATTTAAGAAATAAGAAATAATAAACACCTGATCCCAAACATGAACTACCACCTCAAGTGCCTTCAATCCAGACCCAGAGACAACTAATTAAGAAACTAATTAAGAAACTAATTAAGAAACCCCAGAGAACAACTGGAACCCCCCCAGTGGGCCTGAGACCTGCCCGGCCTTCAGGAATCTTCTCTCCCCTCTTGCTCAGGGGGGCACAGCTCCCTGTGACTTGTCAGGACTGAGCTGCTAATTGTTCCAGCCCTTTCTCTGGGTGTTCGTGGCCGGGCTGTGTGTGCTCAGAGCTGTCACCCCCTGAGTGTCCCCTGCTGTCCCCACAGACGTGGCTGTGCCTCGTTGCCCTGGGCGCCTCCTTCCTGGCCTGCGGGAGCACGGTAAGCGTCACCCGGACCCTGCACCTGGAGCAGCCGCCCTCCCACCCCCCCAAATAGCCTGGGGGGGGGCCTGGAGCCCCCAGAGCCACCCTGGGGACACGGACGGAGCCGCTCGGGGACGCCCCCGGCAGGACACGGAACACCCGGAGCCCTCGGGGCTGGCCTGGCTCTGCTGAACCCCCAAAACCCCCCTGGGGGGGAGCCACACCTGGGGGGGACAGGAACAGCCTGAGCCACACCTGGGGGGGACACAGGAGCAGCCTGAGCCCTCCTGGATGGGTGCCACACCTTGAGGGGGGACACAGGAGCAGCCTGAGCCACACCTGGGTGGGCTTCACACCTGGGGGGATGCAGGAGCAGCCTGACCCCCCTGTGGGGACATGAACAGCCTGAGCCACACCTGGGGGTAACACAGGAGCAGCCTGAGCCCCCTGGGGTGACACAGGAGCAGCCTGTCCCCTCTGGATGGGTTCCACACCTGGGGTAACACAGGAGCAGCCTGACCCCCCTGGGTGGGTTCCACACCTGGGGGGATGCAGGAGCAGCCTGAGCCCTCCCCCATTCTCCTTGAAATCCCAAATTCCTCATCCCAGAGCCTTTGAACCCCCCCTGTAGCACAAACACTGACCTCCAGGAACTGCTGCTCTGGCACTGACCTGGACTAAATAAGCTAAAAAATCCCTAAATCCCCTTTTGGGTGGCATTTGGGGACGCTGCTGTCACTGGGCATGGGGTGACACTACAGCTGGGTCTGCCCCAGCCTGAGCAGATTTGGTATTTCCCACTGGAAAACACTTCCCATGAGCATGGGAAAGCTGAGCATTAATATTATTTTATTCTATTATCACTACTGGCTTTTAGTGGCCCCATGTGGGATTTTGGGGTCAGCAAATGAAACGAGTTCATGGTTATTTATGATTTTATGACTTGATTCCCTGTGATCCATGGAAATACTCTTGGAGTTCTCAAAAATAACTCAAAATCAGGCTGTGGAGGCTCCAAGGGCTTTTTCCAGGGGTTTCTTTGCTGCTCCCTCTTGTCCTGGATTAAATTCCCTCCTCTCATCCTCCTGTGTTTAATGAGTTTGGGAAGAAGCTGGGCCAGGAGTGTGACCTGAGTGCAGGAGTGGGGTGGGATGGGGGGCACAGAACCCCCCTTGGATCTCCCAGGGCAGTTTTGGGGCCCCATCCTGCCTCTTGGATCTCTGAATCATGGAAACTGGGCGTGGGGAGCTCAGATTTGGGTTATTTTGGGGAAATTCCCTTCTCTGTCCAGCTGGAGCTGCAGCCAAGGCACAGCTCCGGGGGTTTAGATCCCAAAGTGCATCTTGGAGCTGCAGGATGGGGCCCCAAACCTCCCCTGGGGCCAAGCCCGAGGGTTCCAGCCCAGCCCTGCTTTATTTGGGATGCCTGGGTCCATCCTAGTCTGGTTTATTTGGGATTCCTGGCTCCATCCCAGGTTTATTTGGGATAATAAAATGAGTCCATCCCAGCCCTGCTTTATTTGGGATGCCTGGGTCCATCCTAGTCTGGTTTATTTGGGATTCCTGGCTTCATCCCATGTTTATTTGGGATGCCTGGGTCTGTCCCAGGTTTATTTGGGATAATAAAGAGTCCATCCCATCCCTGCTTTATTTGAGATGCCTGGCTCCATCCCAATCCTGGTTTATTTGGGATTTCTGGCTCCATCCCAGTCCTGGTTTGTTTGGGATTCTTGGCTCCATCCCAGGTTTATTTGGGATAATAAAATGAGTCCATCCCAGCCCTGCTTTATTTGGGATGCCTGGGTCCATCCTAGTCTGGTTTATTTGGGATTCCTGGCTCCATCCCAGCCCTGCTTTATTTGGGATTCCTGGCTCCATCCCAGCCCTGCTTTATTTGGGATTCCTGGCTCCATCCCAGGTTTATCTGAGAATAAAATGGGTTTTTCCCTCAGTGCCCACTGGCATTTCCCTGCTCTCCCAGCTCCAGGCAGGGAATTTCTCTCTGAAATAAAATCCCTGCAGAATCCAGCTCTGGGGAATGTTTGGGATCTGCCCAGGGGTATTTCTTCCCTTCCAAGAGCAATCCCAGTGTCCTGTCCCAGGACTGGAGCCCCTGTGGGGGTTCATCCACCCCCCAGGCCTGGGGTCCCTCCCTGGTGCCCAGGACACCTTCCAGGGGTGGAGGTGACAACACTCAGAGAGATCCCAGCAGGAAAACTCCCCTTTAATGGGGCAGGATCAGATCCCTCTTCCCAAACCTGACCACGAGGATTCTCATTTTTCCCCGCTGTTATCCCAAATTCCAGCAGGATTTAACCCCGTAGTGTCACATCTGCAGGTTTTACACCCATCCCCACAGCACAGCAGCCACGAGCTGTGGGGGTTGTGGGCTGCACCAGAGGATTTGGGCTTTGGAATTCTGCTCTACCCCCACCCTGGGCTGGGAATTTCGGCTTGGGAGGGGTCAGCTCTCCTGGCTGAGCACTGACTGCGTGTGGAGCCTCCCATTGCTCCGTGCTGCACTAATCTGGTTTTTTTTCCTTTTGGTCCTGGTTGTACAAACCCCTTTTGCCATTAAAAACATGGAGACTTTTCCAACTCGGCTTCCTGGGTCATTTTTTGGGGCTGGTGCTGGCTGGGACAGAGCCCCCCACGCTCTGCAGCTGGAGCTGGAATTGGGCAGAAAAATCCCTTTTTCCCAACCTGGGAATGAAACTCGAGGTCGTTTTAGTTCAGAATTCAAATAAAAGTGGATTTTACTTCAAGGCTTTCGGGGCAGTTAGGGAAAAATGGCCACAAAACCCCACCCCCACAGGGGTGAGGAGGTTTTTATAGGTTTTAGGAAATTACATAATTAATAAAAGCGCAATTAGAGGTGGTGAGGGAATTCTCTCCCCTTCTCTGCAGTCCCAGCTCAGCTCTGGCTGAGCTCTGCCCATGAAATCCCCAGGAGTTGTTCCTGGGCCTTGGAGCTCTGGAATTTCTGTCTTTCTGCCCAGGAAAAAGTCGTGGAAAAACACTGGGAAAAATGGGTTATGAACACAACAGGCCAATAATGCAGAGCCACAAACGCACCTGCAGAGAATACAGGGAACAGAAAAAGTATTAAAAAAAAAGGGAAAACCCAGGACGGCATCAGGCTGAGCTGGGCACGTCCCTGTCCCCTGGAATTGGCTCCCAGCCCCCCCTTCCCATGGGAATTCCTTCCGTGGGATCGGGCTCGGCCCCTTCATCCCGCCCTGCCCAGGCCGGACCCACCAAAAATCCCCAAATTCCCTTTTTTCCCTGCTTTTGCCTCTTTTTTCCTGCTTTTCCCCCTGTGGAGCCTCGCCTCCGGCTCAGTCCCGTTTAGCTTTCCTGAGCAGACACTGCTAATTAAGGCTCACCCACGCCCCCAAGTTAATTAAGCTGGCGCGGTTAATTGCAGAGGGAGGGGCCCCGGGCGGGGCTGGGCCGAGATCTGCCCCAATTAACGGCAGGATCCGCTCCCAATTAGCGCCGTTCCTTCTGCTCAGTGCTAATTAATGGGCGCAGGTGACTCTGGGGCCGCCTCGGAGCCCGCCCGGGCTTGGTTAAACCGGGCCTAACTGGGGCTGCCTTAAACCGGGATCAGCTCTGGTTTCATTTGCAGCCTGCCCTGCTCAGGCTCATTAAACTGGGCTCAACATCGGCTTCATTAAACCAGGCTTAATTCGGGCTTTGTTAAACCGTCCTCAAGTTGAGCTTCATCTCAGCTTGGGCTTTGTTAAACCAGACTCAATTCGAGCTTCATTAACCCATCTCAACTTGGGCTTTGTTAATCCAGGCTCAATTCGAGCTTCATTAAACTCATCTCAACTTGGGCTTTGTTAAACCAGACTCAATTCCAGCTTCATTAAACCCATCTCAACTTGGGCTTTGTTAAACCAGGCTCAGTTCGGGCTTCATTCAGTTGTGGCTTCGTTAAACCGGGCTGAGCTCAGGCTTCCTTAAACCACCTTGTGCTTCCTCAAGCTCTCTTTGGCTCAGGCTTCCTTAAGCCAGGCTTAATTAAATCCCCCGGCACTAATTGTTGCCTTCATCCCCCAGGGCCGCCTGGGCTTCGCCGCCCGCCCCGAGCTCTTCCTCCTCGGCCACGTCGATTCCGACCCGTCCGTGCCCAGGTGACCCCAGCGCCGGGACCTGCGGACCCCCGGGACCCCCCGGGACCCCCGGTGTGGAGGGGCGGACCCCCGGGACCCCCCCGTGCCCCCAGGACCCCGAGCCCCGGGCGTGCGGCAGGAGCGGAGCGGCGACAGCGGGACCGGAGGAGCCGCCGGAGCCTGGGACACTGGGGACAGCCTTGGGGACAGCCGGGACAGCCCTGGGGACACTCGGGACAGCCTTGGGGACAGCGGGGACAGCCTTGGGGACACCCGGGACAGCCCTGGGGACACTCGGGGCAGCCTTGGGGACACTCGGGGCAGTCTTGGGGCCAGCCTTGGGGACATTTTCCACTCCGAACTTTGCTCCTCGGGGTTTTCCCTAATTCTGGAATGTTCCAGTTGGGATTTCCCGGATTTTCACTCAGGTCACTCCAGCAGGACTTTGCTCCTTGGGGTTTTCCCTAAATCGGGAATGATCCAGTTGGGAATTCCTGATAAAAGCCAGGTTTAATTCCAGATAAAAGCCAGGTTTAATTCCCGATAAAAGCCAGGTTTAATTCCTGATAAAAGCCAGGATTAATTCCTGATAAAAGCCAGGTTTAATTCCCAACAAAAGCCAGGACTTTGCTGTTTGGGGTTTTCCCTAATTCAGGAATGTTCCAATTGGGAATTCCCAACAAAAGCCAGGTTTAATTCCCGATAAAAGCCAGGTTTAATGCCCGATAAAAGCCAGGTTTCATTCCCGATAGAAGCCAGGTTTGCTGCCAGGCTCTGGCCGTGGGCCAGGCTTTGGGGACAGAGGCGTTCCCAGCATTCCCAGCAGTTCTGGGGTTTCCCAGAACCCCAAATCGCCCCTCAGAGGGGTCCCGGGGCAGCAGTTCCCGACAAACGCAGCGGAATTTCCGCCGGGAATTTCCTTCTCTGCGGCTTTCTGATTTCGAAATAAAAAAAATAAATAAAAATTGTTTTAGAAATAAAACTTTGGCTGCCCAGGAATTTCCCCTTTTCCCAGGAATTCCATGGATTCCCAGTTCCCATCCCCCACACACTGGGGC